CTTACAGTGTATATAGCAGATCTCTCATAGCAGAATGGACATGTAACGTGTCCATAGAATGGGCCCTTCACTGCTTTGGAAAACTTTTATACTGCAAATACTGAAAGAAATCAGAGATTGTGTTCTTTTGGGGTTACACCAGTGATGTCAGTGGAAGTTAGAACGATGCCTTTAGATTTTAAGTGTATCTTTGGCAACACTAGGAAAGCTAATCTGTACCTAACGCTTCTTGAAGTGCTCAGAATTCCTTTTGAGTTGTGATCGGAAACAATTCCATGGTTCCCCTTTGTCGATCTTTTCCTGAAGATGTAAGAGCACCTGTCAAAGCTCTTGCCTGAGCTGGGAGTCTGCCTCTGCAGTCAGATGGTGCTGATGAAACCTGTCCCTGCACATATAAATAGTCTGAGTACAAACAAGCCCAGCCGTTTGCTTCATGACTTTGGCAGTCTGGTATTCCACCACCCTGCTCTGATGAGGTTTATTTGCCATCCTGTTCCTCCCTGTTTATGTGCATCTGAATGCTACACAATGTAAAAATACCTGACTATCCCACTCTCACTGGTCTGGGCTTTCTTTTTGATTGCATCTGAACCTATTTATCAGTTTACCTATGTTATTCTGCAAAATTGTGATAGCTGGAAGGTGTAAGTGTTAACTTGAGTGCTCACAGCATGCTTTAGGTCTTGTCTGTACTGGTGTATACAATATGCTAACGGTTATTGCCTTAACCACATTAAAATGCCATTGAGATTATTTTTTACAACACTGTGCTTGTGGGGTTTTGCTAAAAACATTTACATGACTTTTTTTTGTTTGTTTTGGTTTTCTTCTTTTTTTCCTTTTTTTTTTTTTTTTTTAATCCCAGTGCCTTTTAATCAGAAGGGAGATTTTTCAGTTCTTTAGAAGGCAGCTGAGGGTAAACCTCAAGTTCTGATTTAAAATAGCTATTTAGTTTACTAGAGATGAGAACTGAGAACTTCATGTCTTTTCCAAATGCTAAGTGACATTTTCTTATGATTAGGAACAGGTTTCTCCTCCACTGATTTATGCCTATATTAAGTAATGGGGTTTTTTTCCTTTGACTTCTTATGTGTTGATAACTAACTGTTAATTGGAATCACTTGTTTAACAATGAAGCACATGCTGAAAATTAGTATGTCCATGAAGCAGCCTATAGTTGAATTCAATGTGTTTTCTTTAAAGGGAATCATAAAGTTCTTTTTAAATGTTACCAGTGAGTTTTGTTTGATTTACTGAGAATTTAATGTTTTCACTGTTAAGAAATAGTTTAAAATTTTTAGGAGCAGTTCTGACCATGCATAAATCACCACTTCAGACGTAATCCTGGGACTGAATCTTTGTCTCAGCAGTGCAGTTATTACCCTTCAGAGTAATAGGTGAAGTAATAACACTTACTTCACTTGCTCAGGAGCCAGCATACTAGGTGGGTCCTCAGTTCCCCATGGCAACTCCATCATCCAGCCCTGGGAGGGCATGGTCAATATACACATAAATTTAGTTAATAAGTCATTTTAAAGCTCTGTTTTTCCTAGATATGGAAGCACTTAACAATAGCCGTTCTGAAGCTGACTTGGAATGAGTGACCTTCCTCCAGAAAGGTCTTTGTTCAGTGGGCATTTTTGTTAGTGCGTCAGTGCTGAATCAGACTTGTTAGCAAAGATGGAAATGAGGCAGAGTAGATCCTGGTACAGCAGTAATCCCATGGTGGTATCTTGGGGAGCAAAGGTTGTACATAGCAGATTTAGTGATGCATAGTCATGTTTTCCATTGATTTCTCTTTTGGGTCAGCCAGGCCAGGGTATTGAATAATGGCTTCAAGGCATCTAGGACTAAAATTTTCTTGCTTTGTCTGGTAAGGATGATTAGGAATTTTATTTGTAGCACAAAGTAGCTACCTCCCAACACCTACAGTGCAAGTTTCAATGGGTTGGTTTGGGGGGGGGGGTTGGTTTTTGTGTGGGTTTTTTTTTTTTCTTGGTTGGTTTTGGCATTGTTTCTTTTTCTGTTCATTTTAATTTTTACCTGGACTGTTAATTTTGCTCTGTGTATGTGTATCTATTATGTGTATAAACTGATACACCAAAGGTGTCAGGCATATAAGAACAGTATGACAGGTAGGAAAGCTCTTTCTACATGCTTGGTTTTGTTGACTTTGGTGTTACTGTGCCTAAGAAAATTGTGGAAACAAGTAGAAGCAGTATTGTGGCAACAATACTGAAAGTAGTAGCAGGACCAATAGTAATATTGCCTTACTTCTGCTAAACAATAAGCAGTTTATCAACACCTGTCTGAGAGTCCTGGCTCTAACTTTCCCTTTGGAATAGCACTGTCATAGAATTTAAATGTGCAAGTGCAGATGATTTTCTAGTTTTAGTAGAAAAATTAAAATTTTGATCCCTAAAAATATCTGTCCAGTTGTGACCTGGCTTTGTAAGCACCTAATATGGTAACATTTTTACTGGTAGAAACACATCTACCAAGGTGCACTGTACTTGGTGCAGACAAATCAGGATGATAGAAGTTCAAATGAAGGAAAACTGAAATGCCTTCTCATGCGCTTGACGAGCCTTTTTCTTCCCACCTGGCTGCAGACCCCGGCTTACTGATGATGCTGAAGTGGCAAAGATCAGTCTCTGCCAGGAAAGTTACTGGTTAGGTGCAATTAAAGATGCACCTCGTGTATTGACCTCACCGAGTGTCAGCCCCAGTATTAGAGTCCCCATCTCTCCCTACTGGAGATGGCAGGGGTGTGGTGAGTTTCTGTGATGCTGAGGGCATCTGCTCTGTAAAGGACCAGGATCCTTGCCTGGCTTCAGTATGTTGTTGATTACATCTCACATCTTTAAGGCCAGGCTGGACAGGGCTTGGAAAGGAAGTGGAAGGGACATAGTAGAAGGTGTCCCTGCTTATGGCAGGGTGTCTCTTCCAACACTAAGCGTTCCATGATTCTATGCCTGAGCATTCCTGGCTGTGCCTGTGGTGGTGGTTAAAAAGCTGAGTAGTTTTTCATGGGTCTTCAAGGACGAGTAGCACAGTTCATATGGTTGAAGTCCCTTCTGCCCAAGCAGGACAGACCTCTCTGTGCTGTTTTAGAAGAACAGAACCTGGCCTGTGGTGTCCTTCAGAGTGTGCTTTCCTTCCATAAAGTGTACTCATAATTAAGTCAAATGAGCAGTCCTGTGGTTGGCCCCGTATCCTGGCCCTTCTTTTTGCCTAGTTGAGGCATAAGTATTGTGACCAGGACATGGCTTATGATGGGTTGGAGTTCCCAGAGAATGTGCAGCTCAGTTTTGGTGCAGAGGGGTACATCACTAGTCCTGGATACCTCACTTGTTCTGTGGCATCATCAACTCATGCCACTTACCTTGCCCCAGCAATCAGTTAAATAGGGAGACCTTGATTTACAAGGTCACAGTGCCTTTTTTGCGGCAGCACTATGTACATCGCTGGTATTTGATGAGATTGTAGAAATGAAATGGTCAAAATAATCAGGATTTATTTTGTGCTGCGTGTTTTCTTGCAGGTGTCTTGAGTTGTAAAGTCTGGATAGCCATTGTAGTTATCGAAGAGAAGTGTTAGGAAAGCCTCACATGTGGTCTCAAATCAATTTTTCTGTATTTGTTCCGTAAGTTGCAGATACAGCAGTTGAAAAATGGAGTATGTCAGCATATAGACCACTAAAGATTTTTGTCTTTTATCGTGGAATGAATAGGAAAGTTTTGAAGGACAACTTTTTGATTCCTGAAATATTAATAATAGTAAAACACTTCTTTTAAGCAGTGGCTCCAGATGGGGAGTTCAGTTCCTTTTATCTTTTCACAAAATGTCAGTTAGGCCATGTAGAAATAAAGTGATTCAGGCACAAAGACCAAAATTAAACTAATGTAGAAAGACTAATCATTTCCTTACGCAGGAGGCCATTTTTCATGCTTCTTATAGAAATCATAAGATTGCACTAACAAAAGGACCTTTTTTTGTGGGATAAACTATTTATATTTTAAGAGGCAAAAGTGGTCTTGATTGTATTCTCCAGTCTTCAGTTCTGGATGTTGGTTTCTGTGAGCTGTTTTGGATTACTGCTGATGTGATCATTTGGGTCTGTAATTGGAATGGAAATGCTCTGTAATTCTTAGGGGTGGCATGCTGAAAGTTTATGAGTAGGCTGCCCTGCGGTAGGGTGTAGTTTAGGACAGTATGTTAATACTGCAAATTATAGGCTGTGTGAAGGTTCCTTATTTCCAATAAAGTGAAAACTCCCAAGACACACATGTTTAAGGAGTTACAAATAGCTGCGTGCACAACTGTAAGGCAGTTGGAGTTGACAGTTATACTGGGAAAAAGGCATTTCTGTCAGCTAGAATATGGGCATGCCTGTGAAAGGGCAGTGATTTGAATAAATATTCAAGGAAACAATTTTAATGAGTTTTGATAGTCATAATCTTGTTCTGTAGTTAATTTTGAACAAAAAAAAATTGCCAGGACTGACTGCAATTTGTACAGATTCTGTATTGAAGGGCCTCTTATGGTTAGTACATGTCCTTATTTGTTCTTGGTGTGCAGATGTTTCTATCTCTTCACATACAGTAAAGTGTGTAGTGTTGAAGAACAACATATGATGGTTTTATCAGAATATTATTGGTTTATTCCCATCTCCAAATGCAGAGTTGTCATTTCTTGAAAAATTTGAAAGTCGCTTTGCTTGCTAGCAGAAACTGTTATGGTCTTCCCTGCTGCTGGTGTGGGTAAGTGGTATACGTGTTTGTGTTGCAGAAAAAGGTGCCTGGACAAAAAGGTGAATTTTAGTTTTTAAAGAGGAACCTGCTTCATGCTGTCTGTGTAGGTCACAGTCTGTGGTTTCCAGGGCTTATTCTTTTGTTGGATGTAGTGATTGTGTTGTGAAGGAGAGAATTACTAAATAGGTTCATGTTAAAAGTGGGGTTTACTTCTGGTTCTTACTGAAGTGTTTTTTCCTTTTAAAGATGAGCTTGTGATTCTCACCAAGTTCAAGCCATCACCATCAGAAGGTATTGTACTAACCAGCATTAAGCCTTTTCTTCCCTTTTGTATGTGTCCGCATTTTTCTTCTGCTGAGAGACTCTTGGTAACCAGACTTAAGTTTATGTGGGTCACTGATGTCATGTACGAGCCAGGCTTTCTGCCGTGTGATTTGCAAGTTAATTCTTAGCTATCTGTGGACAGAACCAGTTGGACATCTCTGTTCTGGGTGCTTGTTGCAGTTTTGGGTTGGAGCTCTTTCACACTTTCCTACATGACTTGGACATGTGTTTCATTTACTGCTCCTATTCAGGAACTTGTGAATGTATTAAGTATGTTGTACTTCTCAGTTAATGTTTTGCATTCTCTTTCTGCCTTCTTGTGTGCTGCTCTAGGGTTATTCAGTTTTATTTCCTGGATTACAGATATGAAAAGGATTTAATTCCACAGATACGTAAGTATTTGTGGAATCAGCTGTGTTACTGGGAGAGCATTTAAAAAATTGAATCACAAATTGGTTTGGGCTGGAAGGGACCTTAAAGCTCATACAGTTCCAGCCCCCTGCCATGGGCAGGGATACCTTCGACTAGACCAGGTCACTCCAAGCCCCATCCAGCCTGGCCTTGAACACTGCCAGGGATGGGGCAGCCACAAGAAAATGTAGAATTCTGGATTGTGCTTGTTTCTGAGGTTAAACTTTGACAACTAAAGAAAGGAAAATCCAGGTCTGTTGTTGCAGGCTGTGGAATCAGTTCAAATGCTCTCAGCAGCACAAGGCAAACTGAACGTTGCTGCTCCAGGGACAAGGTGCCAGGCTGTGTCTGCTGCAGATGGTCAAGCAACAAAACATTTGGGCTTTCTGCTCATAGGTGCTAGGCTAACTCCATCTGGTGAAAGCAGCAGCAGTCTCCTGGTTCCCAGGGCTGTAGGTGAGCAGGCAGCAGAGTGGGATGAAGATGATCCCTAGCTTTGGTCCAGCAGGGGTCTGCTGTCCTGAGTGGCTGCAGGGCTTGCATAAGCTTAGAGCCAGCCCTGTAGGAAGGTGTGGAGCCTCTCCTTGAGAACATTATTGCAGAAACAGTTTCTTACAAAAGTTAATCTGAATAATTTGATAGTTGTTTTTTTGGGTCAAGACTTCCATGTTGTTAGTATAATGTTCTCTCGTTATGTGCCATTTGTGTCTCTTGCCTGCTGAATGTGCTGTGCTGGAAGGTGAACTGAATTCAGTTCTGTCCCTTTAAACCTTCACTGTGTTCGGTGTTCTGTTTTACAGCATAGTCCCTGTAGCATTTATGATATATTTAGGTAGGAAGAATGATCCCAAGTTAATTATCTTCACACTGACTTTTTAGAGGTGACTTAATCTGATCCTCACATGTATCAGCATGTGGAAACACCTTTCTGCAAGTGCATAAGTAAACCTGAAGTGTTCAACTTGCATCTACTAATACAAATTTTGGAGGCATAGTTTGCTTTAGCAGATGTGCGACAACCTCAAATGTCTTTAACATTCAGAAACTTCTTCATTATATGTTATATACTATTATATACCATTACCCTGTTTCTGATCACATCATATGGACAGTTATAAATTACTGAGACCATTTTCTGTAAGTGAACTTAAGCAAAAATTGTAGGAAATAAAATGTTGTCAAACTGTACGTAGGTAGCTTATTACAGATTTTTCAAAGAACCAGTTTATATTCTGCATGGATACAGTTTTGATAGCAAATATTTGCAGGTTATAAAAATAAAAGAAGTAGGTTTGGTTTATTGATAGGACTAATTAGCCATAGTTGACAGTGGTCCAGTCTAAGGTGTGCCAGTCAGTGTGTTCAATCTAAGCTATACCCAGCAATACTTCCTTGATGGAGAAAGGATTGTGATGAATCCTGGTTTTGGAAGGAAGAGGCACCATTCTTAGGTGTTCTAGAATGTGCTAAGCTGTTTTCCAAACTGCTTGTCCTTTTCCATTGGGGTTGTAGTTATTTAGATGCCTGATTTAGGAGGCTGGTCTGTCTAATCAGCACAGAGATTGTTCTTTACAAAAACTTCTTGCAGCAGGAGCCTGCAGCAGGAGCCTATCTTGTGGGCTCTGAATTGCTATCCAAAGGAAACTGGTGATAGAGTAGGTCCAGAGCCCCAAACCCAGCCAATATCTCAGTATGATTTAGGGATCTGAAGATACTCAATGTAGTTTTTCCCTACAATGTTAAATAAGTGTCCTTGCCCAGCTGACTATACTTGTTATTTTAAAGTTCAATGCTATTGTTAAAATAAAGGTAGGAGGTTTCGGGAGTTCATTGTTGGGTTTTTTTTTAAACAACAAGAAGCCAAGTAAAGTTGTTATTACTGTTCTTGATCCTGTTGTGTCTCTTTTATGTGGGCATTGGTAATCCTGGGTTATGCATCGTTAATCCCTTAGCAACAATAAAACTATTCAATTTCTAACAAGCAACTCCAGAGATAACTGAACTTTCATAACTGAGGCAGTAAAGATCTGGGGGCAAGGCCATCATAGGCAGTAACCCAACAGATACTGGAGACAAGGAAGACAGGGGTTTTCTGTCACAGTTAAAAATAAGTTTATGTGATTGCAAGGTTATAACCATGTAGTAAAGACTGAGTACAATGAAGGGGAAAAAATGCTGTGAGACACAAAGAACTATTCTGTCTGTATTTTCTGCTATAAGATCTTCTGGTTTTGTGTAGCTGAGTATTATTTTCCAGCTTTTGCTTGTTTGTAGTTCCATGTCTGCAAGGTTCATGTCATTTTCAGATACAAAAATACTTGAAAATAAGTAATGTATATGAATCTTATCTTTCTTTCAATGTCCATAGGGGAAGAATGCAATGGACCTTTATGTGAAACTATTTCAACTGCAGGATCAGAAGTCCCTAGCAGCTCTGAGGTAAAGTAGAATATTGATGTTGTTAACATACTGCTGGTAGGAAGAGAGAGGGACAGTTGCTGTGAAAGAGAGAATTAGTTCTACAAATTACATTCCTTATAGATTGTTTTATACTTCCCCTTTATCCATGTAAGCTTTTTCTTTCTATAGTTTTTTTTTAAGGAGCAAACCCACAAATGTCACGCTGATGCACACTGAGTGTTTTAAGAAGCTTATCAGTGTTAGTCCTACAACACAGCAGTGGTAGAAAACAGTATGGGCTTAACAGTGTTTCCAGTATCAGTCTTGAACTGAGAATCCTGTGGTCATTTAATGTTCTGGCAGATGGAAAAAAATGCTTCTTCACAAACCTACCACTTTGTTTTATGCTGTGTGTTACGTTGCTGGATTGACAGGGAAATAGAAGCACCCTTGCATTCCTCTGATCTAGGAACTGCTTGACAGTGCAGCAAGACTTAAGAAAATGAAGATTTGAGTTACAAGAATACCTGTTCCCTGGAACTTGTGCAATACAAAAAACATCACCAGCTATTCATTTTTTTCACAATACCTCACTGCTTAATATCTACAGTCCACAATATCTTAAATAAGTAGCAGTGTGTGGTTACTATTTAGGGAAGAAACAGATTTAGAAGCAATATAGACAATGTGTTCTTGAAATCTGTATTTTATTTTAATTTGTATTGTCCGATTTCTTTATTACGGTTGTTGTGCTTAGAGGAAGACAGGAAGAGTTTTAGGTAGGAAAAAGAATAGTTGCTCTGTTGGATTAGAGACTGATACAGGCCAAGAGCACTCAACAGAAATTGGCTGTTGAACTGAACATTGGAAAACTGAGCTGTTCTGCTGAATTTGTTCTCACCTGTCTGCAAGAGGCAAACTTGGATATGGTCACGTGAACACAGAAGTGCTTCCTAGATTACAGATTTTTACTTTGCTAGCACATGCAACTCTATCATTTAGATGTTTTCATAAATCTGCCTGTTCCATCTTAAAAATTGCTAGTAAGTTCACCCTGCCGCTTTCTGAATCTATTATAGGAGTTGTAGTAATTTTGCTCTCCAGGAAAATGTTCAGTGAACATCCATATCAAATATTTCAGTGAACCCTGGTCATATGTAATCTCCAATTACAGCATATGAATCATCATACCATGATAAGTATCAGAGTCTAAAACTGATTCTGAGTTCCTTTTGAGTGTCTCAGTAGATGGAGATGACCTATTTTCCCAAAGCTTGAAGGAATTCGCTCCATGACTTAGAAATGTAAGAAAAGGAAGGAAGTGTGGGAGAAAGGGTGAAACACGTATTATTTATGTAGAAGCATGGGATTTTAACCTTGTTTTGTTCTAAGGGTGAAGGACTCATGATGAGGAGGGGAAGGAGGCTTTGATCTTGGGCACTTTCTTGTCTGGGAGGTGATCTCCTTATGAAAAATGTATGGTTACCCCCTCAAAAATTTCTCTTTGATAACTTCATGCTGCCTCATTTCTTCTTTTCTACTTATGCCTCTGCATTATGTAATTATTCGTCTTCATAATTTGTTCTTGGATATCACAAAGTATTGTCATATTAGCAATATTAGTCTGTAGTCGATGTGGTGACTTGGTAGGGGGTTGTTAATTCCCTGCCTCTAAGAAGAGACAGCTTATTTAGCTTTAGGTAGTTTGTTTCTCCAGATCACCTGGTTATCTGACATTTGTTTACATTTCAGTTAATACTTTTCTGTGCTTGGCGTTATCCTACACTATGTCCCCTAATACAGTCTCATCTCATTTTGGTTTCTATGCACTAGCCAGACATAAAGTTGCAGTTACTTTTATTCTTTGTGCCCACTTTCGCACTCTTATTAGTCACAAGAGTCTTGATGATTAGTGTCCTAGATAGTCAGGATACGTCTATCCTTAAAGTTTTTTCCATTATTTTATTCCAACAGTAAGACAGCCCTGAGATATATGTATTTTTTTCATTTAATTCTAATTTTTTATCATAACGTGTTGTCACAACAGGAAGAATTTCTTTTCTCTGAGTTCTAGGCTGCCTTTTATCATTCTTGATGCATTCCCATAGGAATTGAACAGGGTCATCTCTCACAGCATGAAAGTCAAGGCATGATTTCTCCTCTTTTCACCAAGACCCTTCCAAGCTCAGGTCAACATGTTTTGTGCTTGTGTCAGATAGCACATATCTCTATTTTGTGATTTCACTCTGGGGACAGGTTGATCATGTCCTTAATTCTGCTCATGCAGTTGGAAAATAGGAACACTTGGAAGTCTTAGAACAATTTAAATGAAGTATTCTGAAAACAGAAATGGAATTAATTAATAAAAAGACCATTGGGGAAGAGTGAAATGAATGTACATTCTGGTCACAACTGCTCTAGCTGTATTTTGTTTTAGAATAGAAGAAACATGAGTTCGAATCTCTGTATACTTCTGCTCAGCACTGGGGAGAATAAGCCAAGGCCTTATTGTTGATTTAGCAACAGAGGAGGGAAACAAAAGAAGTCTAGACAAAAATACAGTGAGAAAAGCAGGTTACCTATCCATAATTCAATGGTATTTTTCATTATTTGCCATCTATAAAGGAATACATCTTTTGGACGTAAGAACGTTGCAAGTAGAACAAAAAAGAAGGTGAAAAACATTCTGTAGCCAGAATATATACGGAAGTCCAGGGCTCAGAAAGCAACTGAATCTCCAGTCAAAGCTGCATTTTCTCCATCTTGATGATTTTGACTTTGTGCTCTAATTCACTTCTTCTTGGGTATTTTACCCTGGATTGTTCCTGGTTTTTTTCTTGTTTTGTTTTGGTGGTTGGTTATTTTTTGGTTTTTTTGGTTGGTTGATTGTTGGGTTTTTTTGTTTGATTATTTGGGTGAGTTTGTTTTGTTTTGATCTCCTGTTTGTAGTGTCTCCTTATTTTTCTTCTCTTTTTTAAACTCCCACAAAGACAAAAGAACCAAGATCACTTGGAGTTCAGCAGCTATTCATATTACAAGCTTTATAGCATAAAGAATTTCTAGATCCTTTGTCATGCAGGAAGGCAAGAAGATTTTTAGCAAACAGCTAAAAACCCTAACCCTTAACCCTTAACCCTAACCCTACTAACCGTACAAACCCAAACCCAACCCTAACCCTAACCAATAACCCTAACCACTAACCCTAACCCATAACCCCTACCCCTACCACTAAAGCTCTACTAACCCTAAACCAAACCCTAAGCCCTAAACCATAACCCTAACAGTAAAGCTCTACTAACCCTAACCCATAACAGCAACCCCTACCCTAACCATAAAGCTCTACTAAACCTAACCCAAACCCTAACGCTAACCCTAAGCCCAACCCCTAACCCTAACCCTAAAGCTCTACTAACCCTAACCCTAAACCAAAAACCCTAACCCTACCCTAACCCTAAAGCTCTACTAACCCAAACCCTCACGCTAACCCTAACCCAAACCCGCACCCTAACCCCAACTCCAAACCGAACCCTAACCCAAACCCTAACGCTAACCCAACCCCTACCCCAACCCTAAACCAACCCCTACCCCTACCCTAACCTAAAGCTCTACTACCCTAAACCTACAATAACACTAATGCTAAACCAACACCTGCCCTCACCCAAACCCCAACCCAAACCCTAACCCTAACACCCAAACACCCTAACCCAAGCCCTACCCGTAGCCCTAACCCTAAAGCTCTACTAACCCAAATCCTCACCCTAACCCAAACCCTCACCCTAACCCCAACCCCTAACCCAAACCCTAACACTAATGCTAACGCTAACCAAACCCCTACCCCAACCATAACCCAACCCCTACCCCTACCATAACCCTAAAACTCTAATAACCTAACCCTACAATAACGCTAACTCTAACCCAACCCCTGCCCTCACCCAACCCCAAACGCCTAACCCTAACCCTAGCCCAAACCCAACCCCTACACCAAACCCTAACCCAAACCCTAACCCCTACACCAACCCAACCCCTAACCCTAAAGCTCTACTAACCCCAAACGCAAACACCTAACCCTCCCAAACCCTAACCCCTACACCAACCCAACCCCTAACCCTAAAGCTCTACTAACCTTTAACCCTAACACCTAACCCTAACCCTAAAGCTCTACTAACCCCAACTCCCTACCCCAACACTAAAGCTCTACTAACCCAAACCCAAACCCTAATGAATGCAACCCTAAAGCTCTACTAACCCCAAACCCTAACCCTACCCCAACCCTAAAGCTCTGCTAACCCTAAAACCCTAACCCTAAAACCCAAACCCAAACCCTAACGAATGCAACCCTAAAGCTCTACTAACCCCAAACCCTAACCCTACCACAACCCTAAAGCCCTGCTAACCCTAAAACCCTAAACCTAAAACCCTAACCCTAAAACCCAAACCCACACCCTAACCCTAACCCAAACCCCCAAACCCTAACGAATGCAACCCTAAAGCTCTACTAACCCCAAACCCTAACCCAAACCCTAACCCCTACCCAACCCAAACCCCTAACCCTACCCTACCCCTAAAGCCCTACTAACCCTAACACTAATCAACACCCAAAACCTAACCCTACCCCTAACACTAACCCCAAATCCCCAAACCCTAACCAGTGCAACAATAAAGCTCTACTAACCCCAAACCCTAACACAAACCCTAACACAAACCCTAACCCCTACCCCAACCCTAAAGCTCTACTAACCCTAACACTAACGCAACCCCTAACCCAAGCCCTAACCCCTACCCCTACCCAAACCCCAACCCCTAACCCTAAAGATCTACTAACCCCTAACGCTAACCCTAAAGCTCTACTAACCCCAAACCCAAACCCTAACCCCTAACCATAAAGCTCTACTAACCCGTAATCCTGAACCCTAAGCCAAATCCTAACCCATAACCCTAACCCTAACCCCAAAGCTCTACTAACCCCCAACCCCTAACCTATAACCCCAACCCCTAAACCCTAACCCTAAACCCTAACTCTAAAGCTCTACTAACCCTAACCCTAACCCTAATTTTCAACAAAATAATGGAAATGGACCTCAGTGGTTTCTCTCCAGTAAAAGTACAATGAAAGTGAAAAACACTCATTTCTAATTTAAAAAAGATCATAGACAGAACTTGATGAAAATCGGATTTTGAGAAATGCACTTTCTGAAATGTTACAACTGTAAATGGATGACTGATGATCCAGGAGTGGAATGCAGTTAGCATTCTGCTGAAAGTTGATTTAATTCTATAGAGAACTGTCATATTTCCATAATGTGCTCACACTGTTTGGTTGCTGTGTTAAAACCTGTCAGTCATTTGTTTCCAGAAGCGAAGCAAGAGTGTGAGATATTACTGTGTAGCAGAATGAGATATTGCAGAACAGCTTAGGTATTGCAAGCCATTATTCATTCTAGTGAATCTCAAAATCCCTTGCTCAAGTCGTGTCCAGGACCCCAGACATCTTACGGATGTGTGCCTGTAGGGTAGCTGTTCTCTGCAGAGTCCTCTGCTGCTGGTTCTCCTGCCAACAGGATGATACTGGCCAGAGGACATTGCAGCACCCTGCAGGCCCACACGCAGGAAAATAATGAGCGCCCAGATCTCGTACAGTTAAAATCTGGGGAGGGCCTCACCAGGCATTGATCAGAACTGGAAGCTGGGAAGCCTTTGCTAGTCTCCTTAGGCATAACAGCCTCAATTAATTACTGGTACTGATTTGCCTTGTCTGTGCTGTACGATGAATAGTTTGTCTCCTTGCATTTGTTTTTGTTCGGTGTACATGGTATAATTTCATTCTGTATTGAAGAAATACCGAAGGGGTGTTGCATTTAATCGGAATGCAGGTGCAGCCAACTGTGCTATGTACATCTCCTCTCTTTGATATTAAAATAAGTACTGTTAAAAGTTCGTCTTCATCAGCTTGTAGATGGTATTCTGTGTTTAGACTTTATTTTTTCTAATGGAAATGCTGAGGAATACTGGACAGCTCTTATTAAAAGTTGTTATTGTTAATACATTAAAATAACATGGGCCATGTGGAAGTCAGTGGCATAGGCTGGAGACCCCGCTCATCTGAGGAAGTAGAGCTTTGTGTCAAGTTTTACAATCTAGACTGAAAATCCAGCTATCGCTCCGAATAGCTTTTACAACTTAAAGCAGCAGCTACACTGTTTCTTCTCAAATAGCTTTTTATTTTAAAGCCTCGTTTGCATCATTGCTAACAACATTATGTTTTTCCCATGATGCCACTGGCAGGGCCTAAACAGCACTGAGACTACTTTACTCATCCCTGAACATCAAGTGGTAAGCAGTAAGCAATATTCATGCTTCCTTGCATGAATCTGTGTGGTGTCTTCTATTAAAGTCCCTCACCAAAAAATTTTCCAGTTTCAAGGATGCCATCCTTACAAAAAAGAAATGTTTTTTTCCTAGCTTATAAAAAATGTGGTTTTAGCATTTATTCCTAGTGATGGCTTAAATGCTCAATTCCAGCAAATCAGAAGGATAATAGACAAAATTGGAAAGTTAAGATTGGTGGAGAAAACTGGAAAGTTTGCTTTGTTTATCATTGCTTTGGTTTGATGGGATGTAGGATATATTCTGACTCTGGTGTTATTAACAAATGTGGGATTCCTTTTTATTGGGGTAACCTGGAGGGCTCTGTGAGTCAGCATGATGCTTTCAAATGTTTGAAAGAGCAAGAAGCGAACACTGACAGCAGTTGAAATGTGTGGCCTCTCTTTTTCTTATTGCAGGCTCTAGTATGGAATGGCTCAAAATAGCCACTTCTAAAATTTACAGACAAGAGAATTTTGTTAATTGTCAAATAATCATAAAACTTGAAATAACTTTTTTTTTTTTTCATGGATAAAAAAGACACACATTCATTTAAGCTAACTGAGGAAGTACATGCTGAGGTGTTTTAAAACTGTCTGCTTGCTTACATTGGGCTCTGGTGTCTTTACATTAACTCATGCGCTCTCAGCATCCTTTTTATTTCCCTTTGTTGTATTCTTGTTTAATGTGTCCTTTTATCCAGAGAGGCTTTTTTTCTGTGCGTTTAAATTTGAGTGCAAATACCTTGGTGTCTTAAACTGCTTTGAAATGCATGTTTTCAAGCTCTCAGATTTTCATGTGGTTCAAAACTGTGGTAAAGGTGTAAAAAGAAGCTTGCAAGTTTTAGCTACCAGAAATATGTGGGCTTTTGTGTTTCTTGGAGTGGGAGAGGTTTGTATGCAGCTTTGTAGCCTGCATGAAGCATAACTGGAAATGGGGATGTGTGGTGTTGAGAGTGTTGTTAATACACTTCTTGCAAAGTGGGTAAGCGCTTGTGGATTTCTCCAAGGAAGAATATTGAAGAGAACATGATGCAGAGGGGAACTCTGGTGTAATGGGATCAGAATTTATTGTGCATAAACCAGGAATGTGCCTTTTTCGGTTTCAGTGGAGTGCCTGTATATCTGTATATGTTGTGTAAATGCATTTCCAGGAGCTTGTTGCTTTGGGAAATAAATTGTATCAAACAGTTATATATTAAGCATAGTGGCACTTAAATCAGCATGTGTTTCCTATAGCTGTGAGCGCATTTAATTCAGGGAAAAGGGGGATTACATACGTATTCTGTGTGAACTGAGGATCTACTTGAAGGTGATAACATTTTTTTTTAAGATACTGAATGTTTCCCACCCTTTCAATTAGGAGGCAAAGCTTGTATTTTGATTCAGCTTTCAAGCCTTTATATTTTCATCTGTTTCTGTAGTTTAAAAGTTTTCTGCAGTGGATTGTTAATTCATAAATCAACTAACTGCATTGTTAATGTAGTTATTTTGGTTTATGACATGTTCTGTGATTAAAAACTAATTTGCCTGTATGATTATCAAAGGTATGCAGTAAATAAATCTTTGGTTTGTGGATTGTATCTTGTAAGCAAGCAGAAGGTTGCAGATCTGTTTTATTTTAATTTCAGGCGGCTCTCTTGTCTAGTAATGTAGGACTATGATAATATAACTCCTAAATGTGCTGATGGGGATCATGTTAGTAACATCTCAGCATACCCATTAGTCATAGCCAGAGGTCTGACCCTGCTGTAACACCAATGAAGCTAATGGATTGGGTTTCTCCATCTCAGATTAGTGTTGAGTACTACTTTGCTACTGAGATTGCTGTTCTAAACCACCTTCCCACTCTGAGATACAAAAAGCAGAAGGGGAAGGCTGCTGAGGTCTGAACCTGCAGGCCCAGCTCTGTGAGGCTGGATGCTTGGGAAACCTTGAAGTCTGCAGAATTAGGTTTGGGAATGGTGTTTCTGAATGTATGCCCCTGAGAAATTCGCAGTTTTCTGACTATTAATATGAAAAATGCTGGTTTAAGCCAAGTTCCTCCGTCTTTAAGTATAGACATGGAGAGGGATAGGATGTTTAGTAGTAAGGTGTACTTGGAGGACACTCCGTTGTCTAGAGGGAGGAAGTTGTGCTAAGCAGCCTGTAAGGACATTAATTTTCTGTTAGGTGGATTACAAGAAATAGAAATCCTTCTGAGTCCTGTGAAAATATTCAGGATTCAATCATTCAGGTATAATCTGCAAAATATATTTGCTTTTCAGGTGCTGTGGTACCTTTAAATGTCAGCTGGCCGTGTGCCTTGGTGGCTGAGCAAGGCTGTGGACATGTCTGCCGCAGTCTCTATCCCTCAACTTCAATACAAAGTTGTTTCTCTGAAGCACTTTCTGTTAGTGTTTAGTGGTTGATGCCACATCCAGCAGCTCTCTTTACCCTCTCCAGTTCGTGGTGACTGGCTTGTTTGTTTTGGCCCTGCAGATGCATGTCAGAGCCATCTGTGGGAGCAAAGTGGCCAGGGTCTGGGTACTGAGTAAAAACTCTAGCAGGGCAGGAGAGCTCTGATGGATTTGGAAGTAGCGTGTGACCACCAGCCAGCATTTATGCACTTCACCCAAACCAATTTGGTTAGGACTGAACATGGGGTGTTACAGCCTTGCTTCGTTTTGAGCTGTGCTGTGTTTATTTCCATAAGGACAACTTGGTCTTCCCTGTAACTTAAGTTGGGATTTCCTACTGCATGGCTTCAGTTTTTGTCTAACGTGAGGATTGGAAGTCCAGGTACTTGGGAGGTTGTTTGTTGAACATGGTTCATTCAACATTTGGACCTCCAATGGATGTCTAGACAGAAGCTGATGATGATGGTGTAACTAGAAATATTAATATGCTATATATGTTATAATAAGTGTTCAAAGCTAGGCTGGACAGGGCTTGGAGCAACCTGGTCTAGTGGAAGGTGTCCCTGCCTGTGGCAGGGGGTTGGAACTGGATGAGCTTTAAGGTCCTTTCCAACCCAAACTGTTCTGATTCTATGAATACAATTCCATATGTACGCAGTAAGTTCATGCTTCTGTAGCCGTGTGAAAATAGCTCTTCATGGTGGATCGTTACAGCGTTTAGTTAGCACATCTGTCCACATATGAAGCCACTTAGTGCTTTTAGAGATAATGAGAGTATTAAAACTGGGAAGTTAGTACAAGAGAACAGGAGGGCAGTATTTGTTTTTGAACCAGTAGTTTTTGTGAACTTGCTTTATAGGTGACGGATTTATTTAACTTTCTGGAAGCGCTGGTAAAGGCTGAACCCTTGCAGTAACACCATTTCACAGATCATACAGTGACCTGGATTGGAAGGGACCTCTAGAGATCTCCTTGGCCAATTTCGTACTCAGGGCAGGGCTGACTTCAAACTTAGATCAGGTTGTTCAGTCAGGGCCTTGCTTGATCAAGCTGTGTGATCCCTGGGATAGAGTTTACATGGTCTTTCTGAGCAACCTGTTGTACCTGTTGCCATTCAACCACACTCTCGAATCCAGTAGGAATTTCCCTTGTTGCAGCTTGTGGCTCTTGCCTCTTGAGTTTTCACCATATGCCTTGGGGCTCCATCTCTTTTCTAATCCTCGTTGGGTATTATTCAATTTTTCAGAATCTTCTGATTGCTGTCTTTGCTGCGCTGGGATGTTTTAATTTGGTTACTTGTGTTCCAGAAGGTACACACCACAGAATATCTGCTCTGATGTTCCTTTAATAACTGCAGGCTGTCTAAGATCAATTAATTTAAATACAGTTCTGGAGCGAGCTATTAAGAAACGAGATCACAGAATCAACCACTTTGGAAAAGACCTTTAGGATCTTCAAGTCTAATTGTTCCCCCAGCACTGCCAAGACCACCACTAAGCCATGGCACTGATGGTCTCACCTACATAGTTTGTGAGCACTTCCAGGGACAGTCACTCCACCACTGCCCTGGGCAGCCTGTTCCAATGCCTGAACAATGAAGTAATTGTTCCTAATATCCAGTCTGAACTTCCCTTGAGATGTGCAAATCCATAATCTTTTATGATTCACTCATGCAACCAATGCAGATTACTAACGTGATATATTTTAAATCTCCAAGTGCACATGTATGCACAGAAGTGTCTGAGTATGCAAGACTGATCTTGTTCTGCTTGTGAAATCCAAATGCAGCAAAATGGAAAAGAGTAATTTATGGGTTTAGTAAGTAGGCTTGTCTCTATCCATGATGAATATCTGATGTACAGAAGGAGAGAAGTGTTGAGTATTCCCCTTCTGAAAGCAGATCCAGCAATGACTACAGCATTTTCTTAAACTGATAGTCAGACCTTTAATGACTGAGCGGGTTTCTGATATGTCTTACAAAATGAGTAAACTTTGATGGCACTAAAGATAAATTATTACTGCAGTTGGATGGAATAATCTAATTACAGCTGTGCTACCCAAAGAAACTGGGACACTCCTTTGACAGGAGCTTTTCTGAAGTAGATATTATTTATTGATTTATTTTTTCTTTCTGTATATGACTTTTATTAGTTCACTGGGACAACGTCTGTGCTCACACAATCTCTGTCTTTTTAAGTTAGTGGTTGGGGTGCTCTGTTTTTAGGCCAATTCCCAACATTGTAAATTGCTAGAAGGCACTTCAGGGTTTACCTGCTGTAATGCTGGATAATTACAGTACTGTCAAAGCTATGTTAATTTGACTAGGTTAACACCTAAACAGTTGCAGTTTGCATGTAGGCACAACTGTGTTTAAAAAACCCACAAACTGTAAGGACAAAATAGAATAGAAAAATGCTGTTCCTTTTCTTTGTCTGGATTTTACGATTTTATGAGCCTCTTAGTCTTGCATGATTCTCTACTGATTATAGAAGCAAAAGCATTTTCTGAGCTAGCTGTCTGATGTCAGTCTTAAAAAATAGTCTGAATGATCCACTGTAGGTATATCTCAAGAAGAAAATGACCAAAAAACCCCCAACAGAATCGCCAAGGAGAGAAGGCAAAGAGAGGATTGCGTCATATTCAGGAAATAATCTTTTAGCATTTTTGTGTTACTTTGATTTGCAACGCAGTGTTTTGAGCTGCCCAAAGGCTAGAATAGCTTCAGAAATACAGGTATTTTCCATAGTGCATAGATGGACTGAGTAGGCTACAACTGGTTTCAGCAGTTACCAGGGTGTCTTACAAAGATGCTTAAAGTTGTACAAGAATATGGAACAACAGGGATTATTATTATTATTGATGTTACTGTTATTGTCTATTGTTGTTGTTACTGAATTTGTTCCTATTTGAAAATAAATGCACGTCCTGTTGCGTGTACATATCATTGCTTGTAATTTTGGCAGTTCTGGAATTACACGATTGCCATTCATCTGTTTTTGCCCTAGTGGGTCAAACCTAATACAGGCATTACAGAAACATGCATGCACTATTTATTAGGTAGTTCTTGTTTTGTTACCTTTGCATTACATTCAAAGAAAGAAACTTTGTTGGGTTTGGTGTTGTTTTTGTTTTGTTTTTTTTTTTTTAACTTATTTGAATATCCCAGTGATGGCAGTTAGCATTATAGCAGTCACTACTTTAAAACAGCCAAGTTTAGTCCCAAAAAGGATGCCAGCACAGCTTAGCCCTTACTAAAAAAGATATTAATAGTCATGTTTGTGGATGCTTGTGTTTTTCTACTAGTTGGAGGCTTTTCCTGGCTTTTATAAGGACTTGGATTTCTTGCTAACTTTACTGGAGGGTATGTTTTAAAAGCAGTTGGGTCAGTTCTTGGAGAGGAACAGTAGCCTTGCTAACTACTTGTTGGTTATTCCGACAGAGTGGAAGAAGATATAATCTGTTCCTGAAGCGACGTCTCAGGGTAAACCAGTGAGAAATGATACTGCAAGTGGCTTGGGTGGCTGCAGTAATGACATGCTTCACCGTGTGATGCCTTTTGTTAACTAGGAGCAAAGTTCACCATTATAAATACTCTCTGCTTTTTCACATGCATCTTTTCATGTTTTAAGAGAGAAAAGACAGAGATACAACCCTTTGAATTATTCTTGTCTTAGACAAATGCACTTTAGCTTATGGGTGTGGTTAAAAGACCCAACACCTTAGCATGGAGTTAAATTTAGACCAAAGTATTAGCTTTTATGGAGAGCATTTCGTATGAACTTTTAGTCTTATAAACAATTTGGTAGAGCTGAATACTGATCTGATAATAAATAATACTACCTAATATTATGTTAACCTCCCTAGGAGAAAGAGATACGAGTCTTTTACTAGCTTAACATTAATTGCTGTAGCCTAATCGGTGAAAGAGATGAATGATTACAATATTCTGGCATGCTGATAAATGAAAACATGATCTTTAATAGATCAATTAAAATACTAATTGCACTGTTACATTGACAGCTTTTATTAGGTTCATTTCTTTTTTTCCCCAGTAAAGTAAACACTCAGCTTTGAAACTTCACCCCTGTATTTTGTGTGCTGTTTTCATATGTGGTCATTGCTGGGACATATTTCTCTGTGGTGGTTGATTTGGTGGATATCGTGATATAGAAGAACATGCATGGAATTGACTTTTTGCTACCTGCTTTGAGTTGATAAACTGCCTTAGCTGGCTTTTGTGTAGAGTAGTGTTCTGACTAACTGCAGGAAAAAACAATCGTGCTGTAAAATAACACTTGTCTTGATCATTTATGGAAAGAAAATAAATGTTCACAAGTATGGCTACACTAACGTATGTTCATTCTTCATATACTAGTAACTTACATGTAGTGTTTGTGGATATAAGCAGTCAGTGGTGAGATAATTACAGCTGGATAAGCCCTTGCTAAAACTTGCCCAAGTATGTATCTTCAAGCTGTGAAGGAACTGAAGAATTAAGGCAATTTGGGGAAATTTCTTTGTCTTCTGTTATATTTTAGAGCAACAGCAATGCTTGTTTTTTGTAACCAGATGCCTGTGTCTTCTACAGATTGATAAAAGACATCAAAGCAAAGATTCTATTTTCTTCAGGGATGGTGTCAGGAGAATTGATTTTGTTCTCTCCTACGTGGATGATCTTAATAAAGAATGGGAAAAGAAGTTGGTAAGTATCTCTTTTTGACGTCCTTTTAATTCTTATCTATTATAACCTGAATATCAATTGCAAAGCCTTTCAAATGACTACATGCAGCTGGAATAGGATTTAGCTTAAAATGTTATAGTTGTGTGAAAAGCCATTTCACGTACTAAAATTCCTGTTTAATTTACTGTTGTGTGTCAGGACCCAATTTTATTCCATTTCTGGGCTTTGTTTACAGAACTTATCAGTCTCCATTATTAGGCTGAGCAATACATTATATAATCAGTGCAAAGTAATACGAACTATTTTGCTTTCTCCATTTAATAGTCTTAAGAGTTAGCTGTGGCTTTGCTGAAATAGCCATGGACACTGTTAAACCTGGTTTCTTATAAATAAGCAAAGCATTATCCAAATGCGATTCAACAACTTTTTTTGACCCATCCTTTGACTTCAGTTAGAGCAGAAATAGATTCCTAGATCCAAGAATTAAAGCAGTTTTCCTTTTAATATTTGCTTTTATTTTTTATATATATCCTGAATAAAACAAACACAGCGCCTTATCTTGGAGCTTTTCTCTGTGCTTGACTTGCTCACATATGTGTATTCATTCTTCCAGAGGAGTCTATAATGTGGCTTTGATAAGAGACCTCCTATGTAACAGAGCACGAAGTACAAGCTTTCTCTGACATTCCAGTTAGTGATTATCCCTAGGCTTTTCAACAAGACCCAGTAGGTCCAGCAGACTCAGTAAATGGCATAGATCTGTTCCTTGTTCACGCCAACTTTTGAGGTCTTAACTTGACTAACATGTAAATTCAAGCTATTTAAACATCCAGTGCTTTTTGATGCAGTCAGGACAAAGTTACATTTACGAACTGGTCTCCCCAAGAGATTTCTCTAAAGTTTTATCAAACAAAGAAAAAGGGGAGGGGGTGGCATGGTACAATAAACCCCTTAAGTCTCATGTAATCTTATTATTATGAAAGATAAAGATATCTGAATATAACAATACCAAGGCATATGACAAAATCATGATCAAAACTACAGGTCTGTGTAGTAAGGAGTATTTCTTATCTATATCTTGTCATAGTAAAATGTTTCAGAATAAAAACCCTATCATTTCCTTTGAACAAAAAATGTGAGATAAGGCTGCTTATTGCTGTCATTTCTTTATGAAGGAAATACTGCTTTCATTAAGGACTGATGCTGTCTATATTTGCATCCAGATATCACAGAATGCCAGAACAGTTTGGGTTGGAAGGGACCTTAAAGCTTATCCAGTTCCAAACCCCTGCCATGAGCAGGGACACCTTCCACTAGATCAGGTTGCTCCAAGCGCTGTTCAGCTTGGCTTTGAACACTGCCAGGGGTGGGGCAGCCAGTGATCCAGTGTAGAACACTCCTGCATCTTACTTTTTTTACCTTAAAAAATAACAGTCTGTCATCCTCTCTGGTGCTTTTACCAGTTTAAGCATCCCACAGTTTTGCTCAGCTATCAATGTGCAGGGGGCTTGTCTGGGAGAACAGGGAGAACATTCTAGCTATGGCACAGTAGGTTTATATAAAGACATATTTTTCCAAACACGCACTGACTCTGTTCAGGTGTAATCCTAGCTAAATTGTTTTTTCTCCCATAAAGCAAAATGCATTTAAAAAAGTAGGGGGATGAGACGACTTAAGTGTAGAGAGAAGAAAGATATCCATACAAAATATGTGAAAGCAACTCTTAAAATAAACTTTTCCATTAGTCATACTCAAATAGCAGGAGGGAAGAAATGGAGACTATTTAGGTAATGTTTCAAGTGGGAAGGAAAAAGAGCCAGATGCTCAGTCCAGTCACTTGTTCATATTCTGTGCAGCAATTTCCTCTCATTGCTTTAAGGGTCATTAGGGGGTAGCAGAATTTTTTTGCCAGACCAGAGGCCATGTAAATGGGTGTCATTACTGACTGAAGGATATCACGCAGGAAAGAACCTAAAAGTTAGTAGCCAATATTGGAGTTCCTTTTTGAGGTAAAAATGCACTTATGTAGGAAGAAATATCTGTCTTGTAAAAGGCTAGAATGTCTGCATTGAGTGTTGCGAGATTTAATTCTGTATGTCTGTTACTCACTGAAGAGTTTGTGGCCCCATGGGAAGAAGGTGTTTGGTGTGTGGCCCTGTAAGCTAGCTCTGTGGTCACAGAACCAACATACATGAAGATAGCAGCGTTATAGCACGCCACTTCTTACACAGTTCCTGGGGAATCTGCTAAGAAAATGAAATCCATATTTCTGTCCAGCATAGACCTTTGCACAATGAATATGCCCATAACTTAGCTCAGACTTAGCATGGGAGTGCTGTGCCGTTGTCTCTGTGGAAATATAATTTAAATATTAATGCTCTGCAGCCCTTGGGATTTGTCTAACAACACTGTACTTGCTATTGCACACTCATTGCAGGGAAGAATGTGGCTTCTTTTACTGTAGTACAATGATTCAGCAAAATGGAGCAGCTAAGAATAGAAATATTATTTCTATGAACATTTGTGACAAGGGGTTTTGTTTCCTTGTCTCAAGGAAACAGTTTTATTTTGCCTTTCTGAGGAAAAGAGGAATAAATTCTTTGTGTGTTTCAACATAGCCCTGATGCAGATGTAAGAGGCAGCATGTTCATCTTCTCCCTTAGCTTCATGCACAACAGATGTGTTAACTTAATTGATATTCCCCAGAAACTTTCCAACTTAAACTTTTTTGAGCCTGCCTTCAGTAAGCTATGTGACTAAATCCTAACCACAGAGTCTCTGTAAGAAAAAAACTAGGATAACATAGTTGTGAGACAGTACTTGATATTTGCCCTCAGCCTCAAGCAGGTAAGTGGGAATATTTTACCTGCATATGATGGAAAAATAAATACAGCTTTAAAAAATATCTAACAAATTATTTGTGTATTATAAGGACATGATCTTTTTTTGTCCATAAATGTATTTCTTCACAAGAAGATCTGTAGCATTAGGTGGAAGGTGTTTCTGTCCATGTCAGGGAGTTTGGGACTATTCTGTGATTCTCTCATTAGGACTCTGTGTAATCTGTGCAAAGTGACTTGTTCTTATGTTAACTGGAAGCTAAGTCCCCCTATCCCAGTGGGGCCTGGAGATACAGAAAGAAATTTTATCTAGTCTTCTCCCAGTTGTTGTCAGCTTAGACAGAAACTTCTGCTTTCTTACAGCTACCAGATAGCCCAAATTTAGGGAGCCAGGGGCAGTAAAAAGGCTGTGTCCCTAGGTCTGCAGGAGCAGCTGAAAACTGGGCTTGGTCGAAAGCAGGTACTTCTCTGTGCTGCTTTAATGTTTGGCATCTGCCAAGCTTTAGAGGGCATGTAGAGCACCCTTGCAAGCCATGAGACAAGGGGACTTTCCTAACAGACTCCATCGCTCTCAAAATGTTCTTGGCTGGTGGGCAGCCTGAGCTAAACCTGAGCCCCTCTGTGCTAGTTTTGTGAATTGGGTTTTCTCAGGGCACAGCCAGGGGCAGAGTTCCCATGCACTTTACAGCAGCCTGGGATTGTTCCTGAAAGCTGTGTTCGTTTCCCAGTATCCTACATGTGACTGCAGTTAGAATCAGCCCCAGCATCCTGAGACTTTTGTAAGCTTGGTGCTCCCTGCCTAGGGAGGAAAAGGACTTTGATTAAGGAATAATCTTTAAAATTATTTTATTATGCTGTTTATTGGTTGTGTTACTGGCAGTAACAGCATTGTTATCAAGAAGCAGGTTTGTAACAGTTGTCTGTCTTCCTTACGTACCTAATCATGCAGAGTTGCATCTGCATGGGGCATGAGAGTACTGCTGGACTTTGGATCTGGCTTTCTTAATCTTATCAGGATGTCTCATTACAGCAAAGCATGCATTAGATGGTAAAGTTACTCAGTGTACAAGTATGTGGGATATCCACGGTGGTGTTGGGAGAGGTGCATGATCTACAGGCCTCTGTTTGATATGGATCACGGAAGTCTCAGGAGATGTGGTTTCAGTTTTTTACAGATGCTTTGGAGAGGTTTAAGAAATGTATTTAAACAAGGTGTGTTATTAGCCCACTGCTACTGGGCTAATAATGTGATTTACTTATGTTGTTTCCCTGTTTCCTCTGCGACTGCACAGTGGTGTCTATAGTGGTGTCACAAATAGATGCACCAGGTCTGGCTTTTTGTGTTTGGGACAGTAAGCTTAAAATTCTTATACATGCGTATTAAAACAGCACAGGTCCAAGTGGACATTTTGTCCTTTTTAAGCCTCTGATGGTAATATGAAGAAATAAAATATTTGTCAGGAAAAAGGGGAGCATCAGGGTTTTTTTGCAGCAGATTGATTTCCTTTTAAAGATGGCTCTGTAAAGAGCTGGATGGCAAGGTAAGATGGGGCCTGGCCCTTGGGCTCTGTCTGTGGTTCAGCTGCAGAGCTGAAGGAGGAGCTGGCTAGGGTCTCCAGGGGCAGAGAACCCCCTGAGATGGCTCTCTTGGCTCCCCTCCAGTATTTGCTTTGGAAGGAACGAATGACATCATGCTTTAGTTGGAGAAAATGTAATCCAGAATAGCACAGAGCTTTGGGTACCAGGCTTGAATGTCAGCTTTTGTATATTCCCTTTCAAATGGAATCATAAATCACATGATTTTGGCTATGTTGTTTTCTACTAGATCAGCATGTCAGCAAATGAGTTCTCTGGTGTGGTTATCCATAGGTGCCGGCAGGCTTTTGGGGATACATGAATTAAAAAATAGTGAATGGAATTGCATTTGCTCCCATCATGTGCTAGAACTGAGGTATTATATTTGCAAGTTTACCTAGGCCAGTGTTTAATAATATTTGGCAAAATTACATGTGACAGGTAAAAATGTGAGGCCACTAACACAGGAAAATACATCAATGCATCTTAAGATAGATTTAAGGTCCCTTAAAGCTGTTCTTCAGTCAGTATTAGTTTATCTGAGTAGTTCATGCAAACTGTAATGCAAATAGGGCAGCTTGCTCCTCACGAACACACAGGAAATTGGCTGAAATGCATTGTAGTTTGTGGGTTTTGAAGTGTGTTTGAAAAATGTCATTTAAGACCCTTCAATGAAGAAAACATCACACAGCACTGCAAGTTTTAGTTAGAAATAAATTGGGAATTAGCTAGTGCATTCTGGAGGGACTGGGGCTCAATATTTAGCATAACTTGTTATTCTGGCAGCTCTTCAGCAATTTTTATAGAATTAAAAGGAGATTAATTCAGTCTCCCAAGAGGAGCAACAATTCTATAGTGAAGGGGGAGAAGGAAATATTCTCAGGTAAAAACACCACCTTGGAATTACTGGCCAATATGCAGAGTTCAAGAAGAGTCTCAGACTGGCAGAGGTCCCACAGCCATCGTGCTCTGCCATGCTGCCTTTATGCAAGCTAAGCAAAGCTAAGCATACATAAGCTTACAGGTGATGCTTTGTTAGTCTTACCTAGTTCTGCAGTTATGTTGTTTGTGAAGCACTCTGAATTGTCTGTAATCAGTATCTGAACATCTGTATCAGACATGAGTGGTTATTAAACTGGTAAATAGGTGGCCCTGTAAAGGATTAGCCTTCCATGTGCTTCTAGAGTTTTTCTTTTCATCTAGTTTTAACATTCTCTTTGAAGTAGAGCTAAACTTGAGCAATAATAAGAGTTAGAAATGCTCAATACCAAGATTTCATTTACTTCTCTGGTTAATAAGATTGCAGAGTTTATGAGCCTATTCCTAACAAACTCGTTTCTGTTGCCAGTCAATGCAATTCCTGATATGGTGCAATCACTAGTCTGGCCTTGGCTCGGAAGTGGCCCTGTATGCATCAGATGGGCTTTGTCTGTTGGTCTGCTTTCCTTTACAAAGGTCACATAGCATTAAGGGGTTGTCAGGAGTGAAACTCGGTGGGGTTACCAGTAAGTGATCAGTTAGTTGCTAACTTCATCACTTAATAAAGTATTTATTTCTCTTCAGGAAAGAAGAAAAGAATTTGAGAGCAATCTGCAAAAGGCTGGTCTGGAATTAGAAACAGAAGACAAGAAGGTAAAGAAAAAAAACATGCACGTATGGAGGTGTGAAATTAGGACCAAAGAAATAGACCTGCAAATTCATAATGAACATAAGCCACTTTCTTTCTTTGAGAAAAATGATCAAGAATCCTTAACGCTAATGCTGCCTATATTTACATCCAAATACCATAGAATCCCAGACTGTTTTGGGTTGGAAGTGACCTTAATGCTCATCCAGTTCCAGCCCCCTGCCATGGGCAGGGACACCTTCCACTAGACCAGGTTGCTCCAAGCCCCGTCCAGCCTGGCCTTGAACACTGCCAGGGATGGGGCAGCCACAGCTTCTCTGGCAACCTGTGCCAGTGCCTCAGCACCCTCACAGGGAAGAACTGCTGAAGAGCTCATCTCATCTCCCCTCTGTCAGGTTAAAGCCATTCCCCTTGTCCTGTCCCTACAGGCCCTTGTCCAAAGCCCCCCTCCAGATTTCTTGTAGGCCCTTTACTTGTTATAAATGCTTATTGTAAAGTATTCTAATGGATTTCAGTTGAATGTGACTAATTTAGGTGAAAAAAACTTCATGTATTTATTTGAACTGTTCATAACAATTCATGAGGAAGTGATGCCTTTTGGTTTCATAAGAAAAAGAAAGCAGTTCCAGACCAGCTGTGACTTTATTTTAAACCCATATAAATAGGAAGTGTGCTCACAGCTAGATTTAATCCCACCTAACAACATGTTTGGAAGTCAGAGAAGGAATTACTGTGTGCCCACTGGATGTTATAATTATGAGAAAGGACCCCGGTGTAACAACTTGAGGGTGTTTTATTAGTGTTACTAGTTTGTTTAATAACTGAAGAACCCAGGATACTGACATCAAGCAGCACAGCTTTTAGGCTGCCTGACCAAGTGGTGCAAATATCTCTTGATGAAGATTGGACTCCAACATCTGCAGACTGAGATTCGTTGAGCAACATTGCAGAATACCTTCTGATTGCCATTTTGTCCTGTGTACACAGCAGAATGCAAATAGTACCAATAATACACTGTTGGGTGAGGCCTGTGGTAAAATTCTTCCTTATCATAGTGTGAGGCTGTAAAAGATCTTAGCTCTGGTTGGTGACTCCTTTTGGCAAAGAGTTTTGTGTGCTCTGCTCCAGTGTATGGCAACTGGCCCTCCAGGAGAGAGGACCTCTCTCACTCCTGGATGCATGGGATGCCCTGCACAGCAAATCTCTGCATTTCCAATGTACTCCAAGTGGGATCAGAATTTACAGGCCTCAGTGTACAAGATTAGTGTCGTTCGAAAAGCCTTTGTGTGCTTTTAGTAATGCAAGGGTTATCTTTATGAACAAGTAATCACTCAAATAAACTTCAGTTAAATATTTATTGAAACAGTCCCAATTTTCCCCTTCCCCCTCCCCCCCATTTTTTTAGAGCTCTCAAAAATATGTAAAAGGCAGTAAATTTTGTGTAATAACTGTTCTCCTAAATCTTGCAATAAACCCAGTTTAGTCAGATGTCTGATTTAACTTCCCTGGGGCAGGAATCTGAAGATGGCAAGATTTATTTTGTGAAGATCCATGCCCCGTGGGAGGTTCTGATCACATATGCAGAAGTGCTGAACATCAAAGTTCCCATCAAGGAAAATGACATTCCCTCAATGGTGGAGAACCCTCTGGACTGCATGCTTGCACCACTCAGGCTTCCTGAGAAGGTGATGCACCCTGAACCGGATTATTTCACAGCACCATTCAGCAAGGATAAGCAGGAGCTGTACCTCATTAACGATGAGAACACTTTCTTTTCGCCATCCATGAGAAACAGAATAGTATGTATGAGAATTGCTTATTTCTATTTACATTTAGATTTACGTGTTCCTGTTGCAATATTCATAGTATCCCAGATGGGTTTGGGTTGGAAGGGACCTTAAAACCTTGTTCAGTTCCAACCCCTTGCCATGGGCAGGGACACCTTCCAGTAGACAAGGTTGCTCCAAGCCCTGTCCAACCTGGCCTTGAATACTGACAGGGATTGGGCAGCCGAGGAAGGAGTATATAAACTGGGTATCTGTGGATAAATATGAGGCAGCCTTGGTGCCTGTGCGTCTTAGAAATTGGGAATAGTATTTGTTGGAATGGACTTGTAGATATCTGCAAGGCAAGTGTACTGTCAGTGGTCTTGCATGGGATAGTGCCTCCTCAAGAAACTCTTCTTGCCTTTGTATGTTGTTCCTGCAGGTTCTAGAGAGTGCACAGCCGTTACAGGTTTCTATTACATGGCCTTAAAGCAGGAAAGGTCTGAAATGCTTGTGTTTGAATCTCAGGTGAATTACATCCTTACACGTTGTCCATATGGAACAGAAGAAGGCAAGAAGAAATTTGGAATTAAGAGACTACTAAATAATGGCACCTACTCAGCTGCATATCCTCTTCATGATGTAAGTATTATAGCTTTCTGCTTCCTTGAGCATTTCCCAGTGTTTACTTTCACCTACAGTGACATTTGCTTTTTCCAGCAAAAATGAAAACATACCTTCCATTTCTCCCAGTAATTAATTCTGTTTCATAACACACAAGTCCTATCTGCCAGCCCTACTATTAGCCTTTTATATGTTTGCAGTGTTTCTTCCTATGGATGAGTTTCTAGGATATGCTCGTGTCAGTCACGTAACCTGAGACACTCATTCTGTACTATATTCCTGTAACATCTATGCTACAGATAATTAAATAGTACATTAGAAGAATTACCACAAGGAATGACTGTCTGTTGTAGATACAAGCACACACTGGAGTTGCACAATAGTGCAGGCTGGTGTTTAGTTTTGCTGTAGGGACATGTGGATTTAGCCCTGAAATCCCTTGGAAAAGTAACGACAGAGGTGGGCTACTGTAGTCTATGTTAGGAGTTTTTTGTATTTCTTTTTTTTCTTTCAAAATGTTGTGTTGATTAAATCTTAAATTCTCCTTCCTTTTACGTTAGTTCAGATTTGTCAAAATGCTTTTGGTAACATAAGTTGCTTATTTATATCTCTGAATTCTAACACCAGATATTTTTAAATACTTTATGTTGATTTATGCTTTTAAATGTTTCTAAATATGTCTTCCTCCCTTAGAATATGAAAAGAAATGGATGAATGGATGGAATATTTTAGGTTTTCTGGCAGAAAGTTTAGCTGATGAGAATCTACACTGTAGAAGAATAGTTTAGGCTGGGAAGTACTTATACTGTTGCACTCTTAAAGCCACAGATTATAAAAAGCAGTTGTACAAGAATCTCTTCTTTACAAGTACAGCCAACCCTCAATGCTAAGAAATCATATGAGAAAAAAATCCCCTAAGACAACTAGATAGCTATTTAAGTTTCAAAATATTTTTTAAATGTGAACTTTAGGGTGTTTAAACTTCTTGATTTCTATTTTGAAACCAATTTTCATGCTTCTCTTTGTGATTTAGATACATGCAGAAAAAGAGGAAAGCCAAGATCACAAATTAAGTATTTGACATGGCCAAATATTTCTGAAGGCAGAGTTGTATAGCACAGTATAAAATTGCAAGAGCTGTCAGAAACTGGTTATTTTGTGCTATTTAATTTCTAGAAAACTGATGAAGCTCCACATCTCATTTAGTATTTTACACATGGATGGATGATAGCGATGAACACACTGCAGTTAGTGTCAGAATTGCAGTTTGCATGTCCTTGCCTTAGAGCTACAGCATGGAAGACATGATACTACTGTGGGTGGAGATAGAATTTTAATTTCTATCCCCTAGTTTCTATGTCCCAGTGAAATGTTTTTGGCTGTGCCATTTAAAGTGAGTCTAAAGTACAGAGAACAGGATGTAAACTTGCACTATTTTCAATCCAGTTGAGTAAAACAGTGATTTTGTACTTTAGGGATGCTAGAACTTCGACATGTGTATGCTACACCAGTGTGAAAAATCAAACGATTAATTTCAGTAATCTACCTGTGCAAATGAGTGTGTTGTACCAAGACAACACTGGTGTGGTGTAACATGAGGTGGTTACATTCCAGGCTGATGTGATCATAGCACCATGAAATGGTTTGGGTTGGACAGGACCTTAAAGCTCATCCAGTTCCAATCTCCTGCCACAGGCAGAGACACCTTCCACTAGACCAGGCTGCTCCAAGCCCCGTCCAACCTGGCCTTGAACACTGCCAGGGATGGGGCAGCCACAGCTTCTATGCACCTGTACCAGCTTCTGTACCAGCACCTCACCATTCGCACAGGGAAGAACTTCTTCTCAATATCTAATCTCAATCTCCCCTTTGTGAGTTTAAAGCTATTCCTCCTTGTCCTGTCCTTACAGACCCTTGTCAAAAGTCAGTCTCCAGATTTCTTGTAGGCCCTGTTTAAGGTACTGAAAAGCTGCTGTAAGGTCTCCCCAGAGCCTTTTCTTCTCCAGATAAATGTACTAAGACTGATAGATGTTCTTTGTAAATATGTATTATCTTAATACATATATAGAAATGATTCTACTGCAAGTGGAGTGCTAAGTTTGAATTTCAAATGAGTTTTATGTGCATAGTCCTAAGAGGGCTGCATCATCATTAACACGTGTCTTTCAATGTGGTCCTTGGGTCTCTCAGTGAGGTATTTTGCCTTTACTCTTGATTTGCTTGCAGTGCCAGTACTGGAAAAAGGCAAATGATCCAAACTGTGACAATGAGAGGTACACACTGTACATGGAGTGGGCCCGTTTCTTGCGGTTCTACAAAGAACAGCCTTTGGACCTCATCAGGTAAAATACTACCCATGTTTTATTATATTGACTTGGTTTTCACTGTAATATGAATATGTATTCATTTGTACCTGGATCCTGCTGAGACCTATTTGCTGCTTTTTAGGTCCAGTGAGAATTGGATAGTTAAGTGGGCACTAGGTCCTTGGAGGAAACAACACAGGTTTTTACCAATAACTAGAAAAATGCTTTATCTCAAAGGAAGTCTCTTTGAGTCTACTCAGTGCTCCTGGGGTCAGGTATATTACAGGTACTTCATCTGTGTAGAGGAACACATATCATAGAATCCTAATATGGTTTGGGTTGGAAGGGACTTTAAAGCTCATCCAGTTCCAAGCCCCTGCCATGGGTGGGGACATCTTCCACTAGACCAGGTTGCTCCAAGCCCCATCCAGTCTGGCCTTAAATCTTTCCAGGGATGCCACAGCTTCTCTGGGCAACCTGTGCCTGTGCTTCAGCACACTCACAGGGAAGAACTCCCAAGATCACATCTCAATCTCCCCTCTGTCAGGTTAAAGCCACTCCCCCTTGTTCTGTCCCTACAGGCCCTTATCCAAAGCCCTTCTCCATCTTTCTTGTAGGCCCCCTTTAGGTACAGGATATATGTAAAATACCTTGTGTTTTATAATCTATATCTGCCACAATTTTTAAGGATTGATTAGAAATTTTAACAGAGGCTTGAAAAAGCACTGATAAAATCATTTCTGAAACTTGACTCTGGATAGAGCACTAAACCCAGACTGAAACTAATCCAAGATCACTTTGGTTCAGCTCATATGAACAGGTTACAGTTACCCCATTCATAACACAACTAGTTGTATTTCTGTGAATTACTCATTGTTTTTAACCACATGATCAGAGCTGTTGTGCTCATTTTCATTGGTATAACTCCTTAGAAAATAAAAAAATCTTCATTTACATTATCCTGTGGGAAGGAGAAAGGGGAAAAAAGAAAAAAGGGGCCATGTATTTTGTTCATTCAGCTTGCGTAACTTCTGCTAGCTTCAGATCTCCTTTTTCCAGTGTACATGAAAGCATTGACTCTTCTGTTCAATGATAATTTTGCCAAGTGTTTCATTTTGATTCTGGCCAATTTTCTGTATAGCATTTTTAAACCTTGCTTTGTATTCCTGTTAATTGTGGGGTTTTTTGTATTCAGGAAGTATTATGGTGAGAAGATTGGAATCTATTTTGCCTGGCTAGGATTTTACACAGAGATGTTATTCCTTGCAGCAGTTGTTGGCTTGATCTGTTTTCTTTACGGCTTGTTTACAATGGATGAAAATATGAGCAGGTGAGTGTAGTGTTGAAAATCTCCTGGGCCTATGATGGGCAAAGCACTATGAAAGAATTGCTCTTGCAAAATAACAGGCAGTAATTTTAAAGCTTGTTATAGCAAACAGGTTTCTTCTTCAGCTCTTACTGACTGAAATGGTGGTGGGCAGCTAAAGCATTACTTGTGTCTATTATTTAGTGAGATTCAGATTTCCATTCGTAGGTGAAAAGCAGTATTTTTATTGCCATTTGGCTACAGTTTTTTTATATCAGAGTACCTGCAGTAAAGTCCTAAAAGTAGCACTGACATCTCTCAGAATTGTTTCAAGTATTTATTGCTGCCTTAAGCTTTTCTATTTTAATCTATCTTGCAGAGTAGTTGTCGTGGCTTAAGCCCAGTCAGCCACGCAGCTGCTCGCTCACTCACCCCGTTCTTCCTCCTGCCGCTCCTGGAGGGATGGGGAGGAGAATCAAAAGAATGTAACTCCCATGGGTTGAGATGAGAACAGTTCAGTAACTAAGATATAACACAAATCACTACTGCTACCACCAATAATAATAGTGATAAGGGAAATAACAAGGGGAGAGAACATGACTGCTCACCACCCGCTGACTGATACCCAGCCCGACCGAGCAGTGATCTCACCCTTCCGGCTAACTGCCGCCAGTTTATATAGTGGGCATGACATGCTGTGGTATGGAATACCTCTTTGGTCAGTTTGGGTCAGGTGTCCTGTCTCTGCTTCCTCCCGGCTTCCCCTCCTCCCTGTCAGAGCATGAGACTCACAAAGTCCTTGGTCAAAGTAAACATTACTGAGCAGCAACTAAAAAAGTCGGTGTTATCAGCACTGTTTCCAGGCTGAAAGTCAAAAACACAGCACTGCACCAGCTACTAAGAAGGAGAAAAATGACTGCTACTGCTGAACCCAGGACAATAGTCTGTTGACCACCTTGTGTAGGTCATCATTTGTACGAACTCCCAAAAGCATAAGTGCAGGACAGATCAGCAGTGTTCTTCCCTCAACGAAGGATCCAGTATCTCAGGAGTCAGAGTTTGCTGTGTATTTAAATAAGCATTGTGTTTTTTTTCTTCAGGGGTCCCGAGATTTATTGCTTTCAAGGGTTTGAGGAGTGGATGGGTTGGGAAAGGAAAAGAAGGTTGACATTTATTGCTTATTGTTTTGTATAAGAAAGGGTCAAGAAACTTTTGAGTTCTAATCATAAAAGAGGAGTAGCATATTCAAATTCTCATCCATTCTATTGAATTATGGTATTTTCAGACTTACATTATAGCTAAGTTAAGAATTCTTCTGGGAATACTGCTGTGCATGTTCAGATTTCTCTGGATACTGAAGGATACCATGGGATTGGAAACTTTGCCTATTGGAGTAGTTAAGTTGAAGTAGCAAATGTTACTGTAGATAGCAAAGCTGAATTAACACCTCTGCTCATAGAAAACGTGTTTTGAATGGACTGCTAACCTGATGAGAAATTACATGATTGGTATCTCACCTGCAAGCAGTGTGTGTGCAGTACAGCTCCTTTCAGACATGTGATCCATTGCTGATGGAGCCAGAAAGCTCATGTCAAGTGAATTGCCAGTTTTCCTCTTTGTAGCAGCTGCTACACTGCTTGGCCTGCTCTGATCAACCACAGTAGTGAATGTGACAAGACTGGCATTCTTCTCTGGGAAGCTGCAAATGCTGAACTTTGAACAAAGGAAGCTCTTAAGTTACTTACTCTTAGATCCATTTCCTATAGCAGCTCTTCAAATGCTATCAAAACAGATACTGTGTAATGTTTTGCTCTGCAGCAAAGAAATCTGTGACCCTGCAATTGGAGGAGAGATCATCATGTGCCCTCTTTGTGACCGAGATTGTGAGTACTGGAGACTGAACACCACCTGTGAGTCCTCAGAGGTCTGTATCTGGTTCTACAGTCACTTCCCATTTTTGCTCACACTGGAAACTGGTTTGGTCCTGACCTGTTCCTGTGTATTTGTTGCAGTATTCCCATTTGTTTGACAACGTGGCCACTCTGTTTTTTGCCATTTTCATGGGTATATGGGGTGAGTACATTTGATAAGTTTTATGTCAATCAGTAAGGAGATCTTGGCCAAACTGCTGAGGGGCACAGCAAGTGGGAAGAAGGGGAATAACAGCTTCAGTATCCTGTTTCAGATGCAGAAGTGATAACAGTAAAAATAATTTAGGGGGACACAGAATTTGGACTTAAAACCCCCAGACAGAACCCATCAGATATCTAGGATATCATAAGCATTCCGTACTCCTTTTGTTTGTTTCCTTTGTAACCTAGGACAGAGTGGTCCAGCTTTATACAGTCCTTGCTCAGCCCTGCACGTTAGAAGTGTCCCTGTCAGGGAGTAGAGAGCTTCTATGTCTTTCCACTGGATGGTGGTCCAGCACTACTACTTCATTAGCAACACTCGTACACTGAGAATTAGCTGGCTTCTACTCTGGTTAAGTTCATACGTTACAGTATGTTTTGATGATGCAGACATAGGTGGATTTCCTGCCTCTCTATAAGCAGTTTCACACCAAGTGATAGCTTGTTCAGACTTGAAGATGATATTTTCTTGAATTCAAGGCCAGGCTGGATATATTTCTGTGCAACCTGATCTAGTTGAAGATGTCCCTGCTCATTGTAGGGGGGTTGGACTACATGACCACTGAAGGTCCTTTCCAACCAAAACTATTTTATGAGTCTGTGTTCTTAAACTCTGTGAAGGTTTATAAATGCAGGATAGTGTAGTTAATGTTTCTTATTTCCGCAAATACCTTGTCTCCCGTTTCATACTGCCTGTATGAAATATCATATCTTCAGTTTGAATTAACACACAAATATCTTAACACACTTCATTAACACACAAAGATCTCTATGTGCCAATAGAAAAAAAAAAAAATCTGTTTGTTTGTTATCAAAGGATCCAGCCACATTTTGCGTAGAGAATTCTCAGAAAGCCGCCCCTCCCTCCCCCACCCCCCAAAAAAAAACAGAACAGAAACAACAAACCAAACAACAGAATAAGCTGTTGTGTGATTATTTTACTGAACTTTGCTTGGTTTTAACCACAAGCATTTGAGTGATGTGTATTAGTCCAGAAAGTACCAGCAAAAGAGTTGAGAACTGCAGAAGATAGGCTTTCCTGTGTTTGTGTAAACCATAAAGCCTCTCCAGGTCAAATAAGATCAATCAGATTACAAGAGATTTACATTTTAAATTAGTTTATAGAGGGCTTTTAAAATGTTATACAGTATTATAACTTTTATAGTTGTTTATATATGAAATCAGGTTGGGCAGAGAAGAGATTCAGAGCAGCCCTGCGGAGAAGGACTTGGGGGTGCTGGTTGATGAGAAAATGAACATGAGCCAGCTTCAATGTGTGCTCGCAGCCCAGAAGGCCAACCGTATCCTGGGCTGCACCAAAAGGAGCATGACCAGCAGGTCCAAGGAGGTGATCCTGCCCCTTTATTCTGCTCTCATGAGACCTCACTTGGAGTATTGTGTGCAGTTCTGGTGTCCCCAACATAAAAAGGACATGGAACTGTTGGAACAAGTCCAGAGGAGGGACTCCCATACAAAGCACCTCCCATACAAAGATAGGCTGAGAAAGTTGGGGCTGTTCAGCCTGGAGAAGAGAAGGCTGCGTGGAGACCTCATAGCAGCCTTTCAGTATCTGAAGGGGGCCTATAGGGATGCTGGGGAGGGACTCTTCATTAGGGACTGTAGTGATAGGACAAGGGGTAATAGATTAAAACTTAAAACAGGGGAAGTTTAGATTGGATATAAGGAGGAAATTCCTTCCTGTTAGGGTGGTGAGGCACTGGAATGGGTTGCCCAGGGAGGTTGTGAATACTCCATCCCTGGCAGTGTTCAAGGCCAGGCTGGATGAGGCCTTGGGTGACATGGTTTAGAGCGAGGTGTCCCTGCCCATGGCAGGGGGGTTGGAACTTGATGATCTTAAGGTCCTTTCCAACCCTAACTATTCTATGATTCTAAATCGGTTCCCTCTAGTGTCTTAAAAATTTCTTAAGCCAGCCTCACCCTTGGAGCATATGAAAAGCATCAGACATTCACAGTCTTTAAAATGACCATGATACCAAACAGTAAGAAAAAGGCAACAGAAATCTTTGAACATTATACTTGAAAACATTCTGCTTACTTGTAATAGTTATTCATATGTTGCAGGCTTATGCACAAGCAATTAGTTGAATTATCACATCCCTTTGATAATTCCATGTTGCTATTTGCATATATAATGTAGTTAGACTGTAATTGAACATGGTCATCATAAACACAGAAGTACCTGTGTTCTGTTTGCCATTTTTCTTGTCATCCACTTCTGGAATTCAATTAGCTAATGAATTACTTAATCCATATTATGATCTTAGCTGTGACCTTTAATAGCTAGTCAGTAAAAATAGATGGGTCGCATTTTGAGACCACTGAATAGAAGCTTGTGCAGAAATAACTTTAACTTAGTTCATGAACTTGTTCCCTTCTCCCTTAACTGTATTTTAACATTTCCAAACTGCAGTTACACTTTTCTTGGAGTTTTGGAAGAGACGGCAAGCTAGACTGAAATATGAGTGGGATTTGGTTGATTTTGAAGAGGAACAGCAACAGCTCCAGCTAAGGCCCGAGTATGAGGCAAAATGTACCCAGAAGAAGAAGAATCCTGTTACTCAGGTAGGGAGTGTGTTGAGTTGGCATGCACACGGATTCAGTTGTATGGTGACAGTTTGCTTATGTGTGAGTTGTGTCCCAGGAGCAACAAGTCTGCATCTTATGGCTAGGTAAAGATTCGTGAGACACATAGGCAGTGCCACATTCATCTTGGGAACAGGGCAGGCCCTCAGCTACTGCATCCCCAGAAAGTACTGTTTGTGACAGCAGGGGATTTGGCTGAAGTGTGGAGTATGTGATGCCAACCTCACCTTTCCTGAACACAGTGGATTGCCTCAAAGCAGAATTTGCCTCTGGAGTGCATGCATAACTTTCATTAATTCTGCTCTCTTAATTTTAATTTCTACTGAAAACCGATTTTAGGAAGAAATTCTTCACTATTGAGGGTGGTGAGTTGCTGACACAGGTTGTGGCTGCCCCATTCCTGGCAGTGTTCAGGGGCAGGTTGGACAGGGCTTGGAGTAACCTGGTTGAGTGGAAGATGTCCCTGCCCATGGCAGGGGGTTGAAACCAGAGGAGCTTTAAGGTGCCTTCCAACCTGCACCATTCGGGTTCTATGATACATTAAATCAGGAATACAGAGGCAAAGTTAATAATTTTCACTTGGCTAACGTTATCTTTACAGTGTCCTTCATGTTTCCAGGTAGCAGTCTCTGAAATCTTCATGCCTTTAAAAGGACTCTTTCTCATTCCTACGCCACATAGGAAGAACAGCCATCTTGAGCTAAAGATACGTAGGTGTCACTAGCTGTGGTTTAGCTTCTCATATAAACCACGTTGTCTGGGGAACACTAGAGAAAGAGAGGTTGCTGAAGCTCTTTGAAATCTAATTGAGATACAATTAACCACACTCTTTAACTCTGTTAAATGCTCTATATAAATGGTTGTCTTCATTTATATTTAATTTAGGTAGGAGTTACTGGACAAATTCAGGGATCAGATGGTCACATTCCAGTACGGCATCTACCACCTCAGTTTGACCTATTTTTCGATCAGCATTCATCTTCCTAGAATTGCATATGAATAACTTATTTTCACTAGATCAAGTGAAGTCATAGGTGTACTTAGAGAGCAAGTCTTCAGACGAGAAATAGAAGCTTAGAGCATGTGAAGTATCATTGCTATATAAAGAGTAGCCCTGTCTTTCAGGGCTTGTCTCCTTAGCTATTAGGAAGTGTATACACTAATCTTATTGCTCATGAGAGACAGGTTTTTCTGTCTCTACTTCCCCTTCTGCACATGCACTGTTAATGCTGCTGTTCTTCAGTGTACGAGTAACAGGTTTGAGTTACACAGAGATTTTGGAGAACCACAGACTATGATTTTGAGTGTAGTTCTGCTGAGTTACTGATTTCTGCATGCTCAGGAAAAGAGTTGTGGGTAAAACAGTTTTTCATTAGCTGGTTCTGCTAATTGAAAACCCATGTCTGCATGTGGGATGCTAGCTACTAGCTTGCATTCCTGTGTATGCTCAGTCTCAAAACTGACTGCCAAGTGGTGCTTATGTCAGCACAGATCAAACCCATAGTCTGAGGAGGTGAATAAGCTGCCGCAGATCACAGCCAGAGATGGCATGGATTAGGTGTGTGTGTATAACTGTTGTGAGGGAGGAGACTGTGAGCTCCTTACATTCATGCAGATCTTTTAGGTAGAATTGTTTATTTCAACTGCATTTGGGAAATAGAAATTGGGCCATGATACATTTTTCTTGTCTCAAGAGTGAGATACTGTGCTGCTCTGTGCTTTCTAAGTATGTATTAACAATTACCATAAAAATTAATGAGTGTCCAATCCCTTGTTTTATGATGCACCAATTTATTACCTTGATGGATTTTCAGGAGCTTTTGTGCATTGGGGTTTAGCAGTGATCATTATCAACACCCAGTTCTAGCAAACCATACTGGTTAGCCAGGCTGCAGTGATGTTTCCTTTTGTTTCATAATGTGGAATACTGAACACGTGAAAGGACCATGCTTTCAATCAGTTAATTCTGCAGACTGATAAGGCAATATGGGTCCAGGTCCCTTGAGTTACCTGCATCACAAGGCTGGCTTTGCCTCACTCAGAAAACTATTTCCTCATTATTCTTGGCCATGATTCAAAATTCTAGGTGCTCTGAAACAGAAATTGCCTATTTGGGGGCTTCAGTAAAAACCTCCATTTGCTTGTGGTATTAATCAGTCTAGATCATAACCAAAATGTGGGTTTGCTGATTATGGTAGAATTAATTTGCATAAATAATGAAGTGTTCCGTTCAAACTTGGGCTCTGTCATTGCACACAGTTGCCTACACTTCATTCTAAAATAAAAAGCTTGTTGAATAGCCTAGAATACGCAGAATATTTGTTCTTAGCACAGAATATACATATTGTTTACTAAAACAAAATAGGCATAAAAAGGTGTGAGCTATCCTGGTGGAGCCAACATAAATGCTGTGGTGATGTGGGTGGAGGGAATATTTGTTTCTTGGCACCTGCTGTACTTGGTGTTTAACTTGACAGATGATGTGGCTGCCCCATCTCTGGCATTGTTCAAGGACAGGCTGGGTGAGGCTTGGGAGCAACCTGGTCTAGTGGAAGATGTCCCTGCCAGTGGCAGGAACTAGATGAGCTTTAAGTCCCATCGAACCCAAACCATTCTATGAGTCTATGTAGAGTCACCTGATATTTGTGCTCATATCTTATCTTCAGCTTTGTTTTACAGCTCTGTTAATAGAGCCTTTAACTGTTACATCACCATGTAACTTGACTACAGTATTGATAACTGCGTTTAGCAAGTATACACAGGCAGATGCAGGCAGTAAACCTCTCCTGAGAGTACACAGCACATGATACTTCAGACAAAAGCACAGTGGTATGAATATGCTGACTGAGTAAAGAATATGGCCATCAAGAAATAATGCTTGTAAAACAGCTGCTCCTGCTTGGTTATGTCAGGGAGAAACGTGCAGCTCAGTTGCAGCGGTTGCATTCAGCATAATTACACCACATTATGCTAGGGTGTTTGGCACATTCTGGGCTTTTGTGCAACAGAAAATAAACTCCTTTCAACAACATTTTTCAGGTTCAGTATCTTCTGTTGTCAAATAAAGTATTTTCTGGTTCAGTATACTTAATATTGTGCTCGCCTGTAGTAATCAGTGACCCTTTGAGGAGCATAAGCATCCTACAATGCCTTTATAAAATTCAGGTTATTTTTTTATTAACTCTTTTTCCATAGGTGTTAGTTCTTATATGATCCTTTCTTAACGCTTGTAATCTGGTATTTTAGGAGTTAGAATTGGTTGCAAAAAGAGAACTTTACACGAGCATGGGAAGTTGTTCATGTGCTATGTGGAGATACTCGCCTGGGTAAGACCTTGCTGCCTGGTGCTGTGGCAGAAGTTGGCAACTAATGAATGTGACCATTTCTTCAATTAAAATGAAAAAGAAATTGAAGGAGTGGAGGAGAATGTTCTCTGGCTGTGTGAAAAAAACATGGCACAACCAAGTAAATGACTCTTTTAAGAAACCTGAACATGAAGAATTCATTAAAATTCAGTCTAGCTGTGGGCTCTGAGCTGTCTAACAGCTGACCCAGCATTACAGTAATCATTCTGGCCTGCTCATCTAATGAAAACGTTGGTCTTTTTCCTTCAGCTACATTGTTTTTTGCAAAGGTGTAACCATTCTTTACAGGTACTATCTTTCAGCATCTTTATGGCCACTTCTACCCTGATCTGTATTCCCCCCACCCCAGCACACTCAAAAGTCATGTCCTGTCTGACCTTCTAGAGAGAGGGGTTCCTAAATGGTTTTCCTCAGATGTGGGCACTTCCACTCAGCTGAAGAGAGGTCTGTGTGCTGCTTGATATTAGAATAAGATTATGGATCTGTGAACTGTGCTGTGCTTGCTTGACTGTTTCAGGAGATGGAGCCTTATTTGCCTATAACTAGCCAGGCTGTGCGGTTCTGCATCTCAGGAACTACAGTGTTGTTCTGGGTGAGCATCTTTTTAAATCGTCACTTTAACATACATCACAATTGCTGATCATCACTAATCACAACCTTAACACACACTGGTTTTAATCACGATATTAACACATGCTTTTATTATTGTCCTGCACATTTCATGCTGACATGCAAAATGCACTTCAAATAAAAAAAAATAATTTGGAAATCTGTTATTAATTAGAAATTTAATTGGGCATTTTAGCATCAGGATAAGTTTTTCTCTGGCTTATGAGCTGTTAACAGGCCATACTGAAAAAAAAATTGTAGTAAAGGGAAAAAAAAACCCAACCAAAAAAGTATTATTCACTACAATGAAGTACCTGCATAATCCTCTGTAGAAGTACCTGGAGAGTGAATTTAAGGGTGGATAATATAATCTGGCTTGTCTCTTCCATCTCCATGTCTGAATGTGTATTCTTCTGCACTTTCTAATATTGGTATTGTGTCCTTTTCTTGTATTAATTAAATAATTCTGTTTGGTTTAATGTCTCAACTGTAACACAGTATTTTGCCTGTGTTCTTTGCATTTCAGTGTTACTGAACTCCTAGCCATAAAGAATGAAACATGAAGATTGACATCCTGTTTCATCAGCTTTTTAGCTATACTGAGCTGTGTGTTTCATGTCTTTTTTCCTTAGGTGTCTCTGATTATAGCTAGCATGATTGCAGTGATAGTATATCGCCTCGCAGTGTACGCTGCCTTTGCCAGCCTCATGGAGAACACGCAGACTCTGCAACCCATCAGTGGGTTACTGACCCCTCAGCTGGCGACTTCAGTCACAGCCTCGTGCCTGAATTTCGTCATCATCATGATCCTGAATTTCTTCTATGAGAGAATAGCCATCTGGATTACTGACATGGGTAAGCAGTGCGCTTGAAGACAAGCCACTCAAGGAACTGCTGAACATAGAACTTACCTAGAGGTGCTCTGCACAGTTATTCTCCACTTGGGCATAGTGGGCACACCAGGATGGTAGCCTGTAGTGTGCAGCAGTGACTCAGTTATATCCATGGCCATGTGTGGAACATTTTCCCTGCATTTGAATAGTTATTATAAACTAGTTTCTCTTAGTATATTTGCATATATTAAAACTAGTCTGTGGGCACAATCGTACTTGTGAACACAATTAAAAATTACCATGTGTTAGTCACCAAGGCAAGATCAAACTGATTGAGTAGTATTTCAGTTAGAAGTCCTGGAGGTATGTTTTTAAAACCAGATCATAGCTTGCGCAGCCATCTTAACAAGATAAAAGACTAAACAGTCATGTCTCGTCCTTTAGAGGAAAAGGTAGGAAGATGGGAGATGGGCGAGTACAGTATTTCCATTGTTCTGAGTGCTTTTTCCCTTAGCAGTAGATTTACAAATCTGGAATGTCACAGATTGAAGGCAGAGACTGGGCAGGTTGCAAAGCTGGGCCTACAATGTGTCACTGTGGCTGTAGCCTTGCTCCAGAGCTGGAGGAGCTGGTAGGCAGGTCCAGAAAGAGCTATGACTTTTGCAGCAGATTTGATGCTTGACTGTTGCTTGCTTGCTGGAAATGCCCTCCTCTAAAGCCCTTCTTACATATTTTATTTTGTTTGCCCTTAATGATTTAGAGGTACAAGTCCCTGCAGGTGCTTTATAGAAGGAAATAATTGCAGAATATTCAACTGGGGGGAGGCAGAGCTGAAAGTATGAGGTGTTTGGGGTTTGTACAGCTGTCATAAAAACAGTTGGGTAATCTTCTTTTATGAGGTCTTACAAGTGGAATCAAGAACTGAAAAGTGTTTCTTGCAGAAAGTTAATGGGATGTGGAATTGGCTTTATTTTGATTTATCATGGACTGTCTCTTCTCTCGGAGATCTGTATTACTTATCTTGCTTGGCCAAATTAGACCGAAGAAAGAACAAGTAATAAGTAAAAATGCCCCTAGCAATTTCACAAAACAAACAGAAAATCATCATTCTTAATCTTTCTTTTTTTGACGGGCATGAAATATAAGCATGAAGGCTCAGCAGTGTTATTTTGCTGCTTGCAAGTGTGGAGGATTAATTTTCAAAGTCAGCACTGCCTGTGGTTATCAGTTACAGACGAAAAATCAGTTTGCTTTTTGGGGAGCTGCTGCCCTCTTCTGGCAGCTGCGCTAAACCCGGGCTTAGAGGCACCCTTGTTTCCAGGGGAGGAAATGCTGCTGTCAGGAGTTCACACTCTCTACACTCCTGAATTCCTTTAAAAGGTTAGGCCAGGTTTTGCTTTCAGGTGCGGAATATAACCTGTCTCTAGGCTGTGAACATTGTGGGTCTGACATAAACATTTGAAGAGCTCACTGACAACAGAAATGTTTTAATGTGCTGTACGCTAGGCAGACTGCCTCACCTGAGTGCTGCCTCCTTTGCAGTACACCCTGCTGTTAAGTTCCAGTAAATACTCCATGTTCTTCTGCCATGCCAACTGACGCCAAGCTTGGAAATGTTAAATTACTCAGATCTGTAAGATCACTTTACCACAGGGCAGGTCAGCTCAACACATTTGCCTGACCAATTCAAAGGCACTTGAATGCTTGTACTTTGTTTGTCTTTCTCTCAGCTTGAATTGGTTGTATGTTACCATGTAACAGACATTTTACCAATGTCCTTAGGGCTTCCTGCTACCTTTAAAAATGTAAACATTATTATTATGTGATATGAAGGCAGCAAACCTTCAGCAAAGGCTTGGTGATGCTCAGCAGTACCAAGATGCCTGTATCTTTCCCTGTTCTTCCCCTGTTGAGAGTCTCATCTCTCAAGAGGCAGAAGGCCCACCCAGTTTCTGCTGATTTCAATGTTACACACATACAACATATTGGGAGGAAAAAAAAACAAACTATAAGATACTTCTCTACCACAAAGAAAAAAAAGATATTATCACATACATAGCCAAGTGAAATTGTCATACTATAGGAGTCCCTGATAATCACTGTGTGAGGTTCATCTTGGGTCTCCTAAAATAGCCTAAGATTTGGGGATGGGCAAGAGCTAGTGGACGGTACAAGGAAAGGAAAATGGAAGCCTATACAGGTTTTGAGAATGAATTTCACTTGCCTGCCTACTCAGAACGTTGCCTCGTAAATTAAGGGTAGAGTGTTTGAGAAAAGAAACTCCATCTGCTAAAATGTTTGTAGGTGGTTTTCTTTCTTTTCTCCCTTGGGGATGTAAGGGTGCTGTGCATGATGAGTGTTTATGAATCTGTATACTTTTAAAGGGAATAAAGGGAAATAAAATTACTCTCTTCCATTTTATAGAGATACCAAGAACTCATATGGAATACGAGAACAGGCTCACTATGAAAATGTTTTTGTTCCAGTTTGTCAACTACTATTCATCCTGCTTCTATGTGGCCTTCTTCAAAGGGAAATTTGTTGGTTATCCAGGTGCCTATACATATATGTTTAATCGCTGGCGAAATGAGGAGGTAGGACTTTCTTGTTTAAAGTGGTTTGAATAATAATAAACTCTTTATCCCCTCCAGTTATAAATTACCAGTTTCTCATTTGACTTGGAGTAGGCTGGACCTCAGTTGGCCATCCTGATGCTGATGGAGAGGCATCCCTGGCAGTGTTCAAGGGCAGGCTGGACAGGGCTTGGAGAACCTCGTCTAGTGGAAGATGTCTGTGCCCGTGGGAGGCGGTTGGGATGAGATGATCTTTAAGGTCCCTTCCAACCTAGACCATTCAGGCATTCCAAGGACTCTTTCTGCTGTTGCTTATCAGGGAAACGCCAGCAGTGAAATTTGTGGTTGTCAGACATAAGGGTGAAAAATCAAAATGTTTTCCATGGCCCAAGTTCTCCTGAAATTGCACTGGGTCTCACCGTAGGTCTTAGGTTAAAGGAAGTTATTATAAGTGGATATAGATTATAGATTACCACCTCTTAAGGGATCATTACAAGGAGGCAATCCTGACCTGGCTTAATTTAAAGACCTTAATGTAAATTCCTTTCAGGCATCCCTGTTGTGCACTGCTCCTCATCCACTGACCTTCATTGGGAAGTATCACAAGGTGTGCTGCAGACCACCAGGCGAAGCTCCCAGTAGCTTCCATTGCTAACACACTGCATCCAGGCTATTCCAGCCCTGATTGTTGTGGATGAAGTGTTCAGCAGCCCAAGCCTCATCCTTCATCCCATGTTTCAAAACAGCATCAGGTCCTTAGAAAGTTCAAATCTCAGTGGGAGCCAAATGAATTTTATCCTCCCTAAGACAGCATCATCCTAAGATGTGTGCCATCCCTGGAAGGGGGGGATTACTCTTCTTTAAATGGTCATTATAGAATCTCAGAAGGGTGGAATGGTTTGGGTTGGAAAGGACGTTAAAGCTCATCCAGTTCCAACTCCTTGCCATGGGCAGGGACACCTTCCACTAGACCAGGTTGCTCCAAGCCCCGTCCAACCTGGCCTTGAGCACTGCCAGGGATGGGGCAGCCACAGCTTCTTTGCACAATCTGTGCCAGCACCTCACCATCCTCACAGGGAAGAGCTTCTTCCTTATACCTAACCTAAATCTCCCCTGTTTAAGTTCAAGCCCATTGCATCTTGTCCTGTCACTACAGTCCCTGATGAAGAGTCTCTTTCTGGCATCCTTGCAGCCCCCCATCAGATACTAGTATGTGTTCAGACATGTTCTTATTTTATCAGTGTGTTTTATCAAGCACATTGAGCACTGAAAAGCCCTTCTGTAACAGCCTTCCTGAAAGGCTATCTTCGCAGCCTAGGTGAAAATGAAGTGCTGTCCTAAAAAGTTTTCAGAACTCTTTTACTTGTCTGTCTTTAATTTCTACCTTAGCAGGTTAGGGTTTATCTGGGTTATGTCTGTTATTCATATCCATTAACCCTCAGTTTGTCTCTGCCAGTGCGATCCTGCAGGCTGCTTGATAGAATTAACGACACAGCTCACCATAGTCATGGCTGGCAAACAGATCTGGGGAAATATTCAAGAAGCCATTGTACCGTAAGTTCTCTCTTACACTGAGATGCCCTTGTTGTAGACAGGAAATTCTTGGAAGGGATAATAACAAGTATTGCCATATGAAGAAGCTAAGATAAATTCTTTCAAGACAAGTAGACTTATTTCATAGAGGCTTTTGACCTCTTTTTTGTGAAAGCCATGCTTGTAAAAGCATGTTGCAACAAGGAGCTTGCTTAGAGAAAGGGATACTTAATCTACTTCTCTCATTATTAACCTTTTATCTGCATTTGCAGCTGGATTTGTAACTGGTGGGGGCGCCGGAAAGCTAGAAGCAATCCAGAAAATTTATACAGTCGCTGGGAGCAAGACCATGATCTGCAGACATTTGGAGCTTTAGGCCTGTTCTATGAATATCTAGAAATGGGTAAGTTTAAAAATACACATTTAGAATTGAGGACAAGACACTTTGTACTGACACTGTAAAAACCAAAAGCTTCTCAATTCATTGTTCTGGGTTGATGCCACCACTTTCATCTGGTAAACAGCAGATGATTAACTGCTGGGAATCGTTAAATAGGTCAGACCAATGAAAAAAAAAACTAAACAAACAAGCTGCCTTTGCATCTTAGACTGCAGGGGATTTCACAGAAGCACTGCAAAGAATATCTGTTACCCTCATTTGAATGGGGAACGTTATTCTCAGTGCAGCCAGCTGTCTTGCTGTCTGTTCTTGTTCCCTAGCATATTCTCAGCTGATGTCAGTGCAAGTTGTAAGTATGGTAAAGTTGTAAGTATGGGCTGAGTGCCAAATATTCTGTAGGGATGGGCACCACAAATAGGAGGTCTGCAAACTGGACCGGGAAGACTCCATTTAGTTTGAGGTTTGTGCTGATCAGTGCTGCCATACAGTGAGCAGCCCAGCAGAGGGAGCTTCGGTAGCACAATAAGCTTTTCCAAACGTAATGTGAGCAGGTCAGTGTATGAAATTAGTCTACAAAACCTGAGAAACTAAAACAAACACTGAAGGCAAATTAAATGTAAAGTACACAAAAAATATATATAGAGAGAATATTTGTTTATTATAAGGACAGAATTTGTTGAAAAGTGGATCTTTGTACTGTGTTATTTCTACAGAAACAGTCAAGTGTTCCAGATTGCCTAGAGATGTGTATCTTTATTATTGTCACTTCCTACACTTTGTGATATTTCATACAGGGCCCTGATCTTGTGAAGCCAATATACTCAGAACAATCACTGCTGTCAGCCATGCCTGTAATAGATGTCCTTGCTCTTCCTGAAGCAAAGCTGAACCACTAAGCTTCAGCATTGCCCCGGGGCTGCTGAGCGAGTAGGGATTTCGTTTCTTGTCTAAGATGAAGAACTCGTCACTGAAAGCATGGAGGAGCTGATGGCTGGTGCATGGGAGTTTATTTTTATCCACTGCGTAAGCCAGACAAGATGTTCTATTTCCTGTCTTTAAGACATCGTGGCAGTACTGGCTCTGCACTGAGGACTGTCACATTCTGTACCAAGAGACATTTCATTTCGGTAATGACTGAAGGAATCGTTCATGTATTTTATTTGCAGTTCTTAAACTAACATTAAAACTCCGTAGTGGAACTGTTGCATTCAGATTTGGTTATCATTTAAGACTAAACCAGTAGCCATAAGTGGAGGTAAGGTTGTGGTATTTCCTTATTTTCATTTAGGAGTGTAGCTGACAAGTAAAAGGAGAATAGGCTTGCTCTGTACAAACTGCAGGAAAGGAAAACCAGCCTGGTTTTGTTCCTCTCATAATTCAGAAATGCAACGGATGAGTATGTTCCAATTCCCGTGCAGCTGCATTCCATTCAGGAGACAACTGTGGCACCATGAAAGAACTACTATTCAGCACTGCTGGCAGCACTATTGGAGAGGACCCAGACGCCCCATTACCTTAGGTGCTGCTGATTGGCAGCCCTGAGAGAGAGACTAGACACGTCTCAGGGCTGGGGCAGGTTGTCACTTGGCTTCAGGCAGGGCTGGAGATGCCTTCTTGCTTGTCTGCAAGTGGCAACTTGCATGTTTCATTGCCACCCTGAAGGTACTTCTGTAGGGGCAGATTTTGGCACTTTTCTTTTTTCCCTTGCAGTCATTCAGTTTGGATTCATTACTCTCTTCGTGGCATCTTTTCCCCTGGCTCCTCTCCTTGCTCTGATGAATAATATCCTGGAAATACGAGTAGACTCCTGGAAATTAACCACCCAATATAGGAGACCTGTGGCTGCAAAAGCACATAGCATAGGAGTTTGGCAAGAAATCCTGAATGGAATGGCCATCTTGTCTGTCGTCACTAATGTAAGTACATTAACTGTGCTACATCAACTTTGATTCTTCTGTGTACTCACAATTTGCAGATTTAAAAATCAGCTGATGCTTTTTGTACTTCATCATCAGTATTGACTTCATCACATGTTACCTCATTTGGGTGGTTTGGCTTTTCTGTTGATTACACAATCCACACTTCATTGGACTGTAATCTTTCACTCACTTGGCTGTGCTTTCCAGCATTTTGGAATGGTATAAGCCAGTCTGAAGCTTAGTCTGGTGAAGCACACCGTTTGCCCCGAGGGGACAGGAGAGGTAGATTAATTGTGTTGGCCTGATGACATTATGTCTTTTCATACCCGTTTGTGGGAATTCTGCACATTCAGCTGCTTCCTGATGCCCCTGTGGCGCCAGTGGCTCAGAGTACTTAGTATAAATTGGAAACTAAATGCTGTGCTAGTATTTCATCTGAACTATAATGGAAGGCAGACTGCTGAGCACAAGAGTTGGCTTTTTCTAGTGTGGAATATTAAGTAGTATCAGATCTGCAAGTGTTTTTGGCAACAAATCCACTTATAGGTATTGCCTAAGTAGTAAGGTACCTGAGCATCTGAAGTATCTCCAGTTCCCAGGCAAAACGAGCTTGGAGTCATTGTTTAGTTTTCAGATGCAGCTGGAGAAAGTGGCTCCCTCCTTTTCCTTCCAGTGATAACATAATGAATTTGAGTTCATCCTTTCTCACAAGAAACCGTATCTGTTATCACAGGTAGAAGACAGTTTGTTTTGAAGGGATATTTGGGATTTGGTGCCTCTTGTAAGGACTGTTCCCCTATTTTTTGTTCACTGAATGCTGGTCCTTGCAGGGGAGACTGCAGTCAATATCTTTACCAAGGTGAAGTGCCCTGGCTATGCTGCTTACCTTTGCTTTAAAAGATTCTGAGTTACACCACTAAGTCACAGTGCCAAAACCCTCACAATGTTTGTGGGTCACTTCTTTAATTCCTTTTCCAAATTTCTTTTTCAGGCTTTTATTGTTGCATTCACATCAGATATGATTCCTCGTTTAGTTTACTACTATGCCTATTCTGAAAACGAAGACTCGCCCATGTCTGGATACATAAACAATAGCTTATCAGTGTTTCAAATCTCAGATTTTCCTGACAGAAATAAGCCTAAAGTGAATCGAGAAGACTTTGTCATATGCAGGTTGGTATTGGTGTAATAACAGGTATTTTCTTAGTATAATATAGTATGTATAGTATACATATATGTATGTAAGTATAATTCTTAGTATGTGTAGAATACAGCATAAAAATTCAATGCAGGTCTAAGCAGTCCACTAGAAATGAAATGATTCCATTCTCATCATTCTAAAGTGTGAGAGGTAATGTTTAAACTATTAACAGAGTGGTGCCTGAGATGGTATGAGATCAAAAAATCACCTTTTTGCTGTTCAAGAGTCTCACTGCTAATCTTTGCTTGTTTTGGGGTGGTTTTACTTAATGAAACTATTGAGTTTTGAATGATAAAGGAGACTGATGTCCTTAAGGCTGCAAACGTCAGCCTATATTTTCAAAGGTTTTTAGGCTGCAATGCCTAGCTGGACAAGAAAGTATCATTAAGGGGATGTTTGGATTCCAAAGCTGAAAATGAGACATGGTATTTGAAGTCAATGATTACTGTACTAGGTACCACCAAGGATCTGGGCCATCCTGTTTTCACTAAAATAAAATAATCCTTTCTTGCTGGAAGAAGCATTAGAAGCTCCAGAAGAATTGAGAAAGGACTTTGGAGAAGCCCATGGTGAAAGAAAAATACTGATTTGATGAAAATGAAAAAGCCCCAAATAAATAAACATACAAAAAAAGAACCCAGCACTTTAAGAAGAAACTACATTTGTATGATGTTTTAGCTTTAAAACCTCAGGAGTCTTTATTCTATTCATCTATGTGAGTGTAGAACACCTACTCAAGACTGTTCTTCCATTAAACCCTTCATCTGCCCAGCCCATAATCTGACAATGTCTGTGACATTTACTCAGAACCTGTCTGTCACTCTGATCCATTCCATCCCTCTGTCCTGTATTAGCTGATGATTGTCTGAAAAAAGTGACCTATGTACAAAACTTCACTTCTCACACATCCTCATCTGTGCTCCCCTGCGGTGAACATGAGGGTGTTTAAACAAACATCACATAGAAACAAATCAAGGGGCAACCTTTTTCTGCCAAAGGAAACAGAGCATTTAAAACAAGGTGAAAAGGTTCCGTAAGTGACAGCTGTATTTGCCTGTCAGTGTCACTGAGCTTGTAGTCTGTCTCAGGCTGACTGTGACATTTCAACTTTGCATGTCTTTCTACCCAACAGGTACAGAGACTATCGATACCCTCCAGATCATGAGAGGAAATATTTACACACTATGCAGTTCTGGCACATTCTTGCTGCAAAACTGGCCTTCATAATTATTATGGAGGTATGTTCCCTAAAAAAATTTTCCTGATGAAATTGGTACTGTAGCTAGTTATAGTACCAAAAATAGAACTGCTGAGTATCAAATCGTTTCTTCCCTAAGTAATGCCAGACTCAAGAAGGTCTTTATGCAGATCAAAAAGACAGGAACCACCTCTACTAGCACTTTTCCTCCTCCTGGTTTCACTGAAGAGCTGGGTGGGAGATGGCCGTACCCAAAATTCAGAAAGCATTTTGCAGTGATACGTATTGGCTAAGAATAGCTAGATCCATAATTTGCTTAATTGTCACTTCAGTATTAGGCCACTGTCATGCAAGCTTGCAGGGGAAAGGGAGTTGTTAAAGTTTCTTCTTCAGCACACCTCAGATACACATTGTGAAATGTATTCTGTTTGTGAGGGGAAAAAAAAGCTCTCTTTAGGGTTAGATGAAACAATAGGTCATTTGGTAATGAGTTGTGACATTTTTCCTGGTTTCCTTTTTTTTTCTAGCATGTTGTATTCATCGTCAAATTCTTCGTAGCATGGATGATTCCTGATGTCCCTGCGGACGTGAAAGCCAAAATAAAACGTGAAAAATATTTAACACAGAAAATCCTGCACGAGTATGAACTTGAAAAACTGAAGGAGAGACTGTGTCAAGGTGATAAACGAGCTACAGAAAAAGAGTTCATTGCCACAGAAGGGAGAATGGAGTTATCCAGAGCCATGTAGCTGAAAAAACAGCTTTTTGGGATTTAGCTTGTTTCAGCTTCTTTTTTTTTCATCTGTGATTTGCTCAGTACACATCGTGTTGATGTGTTTCAACAAAGGTTTCAGCCCTTTGCTTTCAGTCCAAAGATTTTAGACTTTGCTCTAAAAGTCTCACTGAGCATTCTAGATTTAGGAAATCTACTTAACCGTATGATTTCAGCACTGTTTTCTATTTACCCATCGCTTTGAATAAGAAGTTTAATTTTGTCATCCTCAGATTTGGATTATCCAATATAGAGAACATTACCCTCAAAGGGCTCACAGGGCAGGGTAAGGTCATGACCACCAAGCCTCCCCCCTTGTCCTCAATGCAAAATTCCAGGATGATACAAAAGTATCCAAGCTGAACCAAAAGGCTTATCATAGAGGACTCCTGCTGTGGAAAATACTGACAAGTAGTATTTTTATGGCATGATCTTCTAAACAGGAGAACACTCCAGATGAAAGGGTTAGGGTTTGGGGCTTATATTTTTATCCGCTATGTCTTAGAAAACATTTGTTTGAAACTTTGAACTTCTATTCACTTTTTAGAAGGAATTGTTATTTTAAAATATATTGGCTTAATTCTACTTGGAATTACTTACAGGCACAGAATTCAGTCAATTAGTACTAATGAAGGAAAAAAACCATCATTTATTTTCATAAAGATACCACCTGCCAAAAGAGTTTGCTCTTTAGTGCAAATATTGACAAATCATCTAATTACAGTATTTTTTGAGAATATGTATACAGTTCAGACAAGTGTAACTAATCTATTTCTCCATCTCAAAAACTGCCATTGAAAGATGATGTTTGACATGAGTTTTTGCCAAGACTGCTCCTTTGTTTGGATTATTGGGTTCAAGCTATGGGTCTGTACTCAATGCATAGTGTGACAGTGCAGTCAGTGATGGGGAGCTGGACCACCACACTCATGGATCTAAGCTGGATGGTTTGTCCATGGATCTGTAGTCAAAAGATTTTTGAGCATGCCAAATAATCTCTGTTTGGGTTTTATTGTTCTTATGCATAGGAGCCTGGGGTTTGGACATTTGTTTTCTTTTATTTCTTTTTAATTTTTAAGAAGGATTTTTTTCTCTGTTTGTCATAAAGCTTTTCTCCAGAGTTATCAAGGTTATAAATATATAACTACTTGTGCAGAGTAGCTACCAGCTGCTTCTGAATGTGCCCTCATGTTCTAATTCGAAGCAGTTAGGCATTTTTATGAGTTTGCTGTCTATTTGAAACATATCAACGTTTCCATGCTTGGTGCCTTGTTTGTTTGCATTTGGCAGAAGATGTGAAAATGCTCGCTATGGGGAAATGCCTGTTTCCAACGTGTGTGCTTGCAGGCGTCGTGATACTGTGAACCTGCACCCAGAGCTGTGCAGTGTTAGCCAAACCATGCTTACTTTGGCATACTTCTGCATTAGTGCTGTTGGAGCTGCTCACAGAGAGCCATTGATACTATGACTGTTTCAAGTGAAGCAGCACCAGACTTGAGTTCTTTCATGCTGAAGTGCTGTATCTAGAGAGATGAGAAATTTTACCATGTTTGCACTTAGAAAGTTGTACTTCCTTGCAAGTATACACAAAAATAATCCAGATTGGTATTCCATGTCAGCCAAATGATGCACTGTGTACTAGATCCACAACTTAAGGCTTATGTGTTTTGTTTTAGCAGACCTAGCCTACATCTTGGGATGCTCAGCTAATAACCTTAATATTGCAACAGAGTTTTAAATCCGTGTCTCCATGGAACTGCCATTGTTAGCTAAAGTTTTTTAAGCTCCTACCTCAAACAGACATAGAATCATAGAATTACAGAATAGTTTGGGTTGGATAGGACCTTAAGGCTTATCCACTTCCAACCCCCTCCCATGGGCAGGGACACCTTCCACTAGACCAGGTTGCGCCAAGCCCCGTCCAACCTGGCCTTGAACACTGCCAGGGATGGGGCAACCATGGCTTCTCTGGGAAACCTATGCCAGCACCTAGCCACCTTCACAGGGAAGAATTTCTTCCTTGTATCTAACCCAAATCTCCCCTGTTTAAGTTTAAACTCATTACTCCTTGTCCTATCACTACAGTCCCTAAAGAAGAGTCCCTCTCTGGTATCATTGTAAGCCCCCTTCAGATACTGGAAGGCTGCTCTGAGGTTTCCATACAGTTTCTCTTCTCCAGGCTGAACAGCCCAAATATTCTTAGCCTGGTTTGGCTGCCAGTCAGGGAGTTGAAGAAGATGTACATTTCTTGTTTACTGTAAGTTAATCAACTTTGTTCTGTAGGTTTGCTTGAAAAACCAAGCACATTGGCCATTTGCGTTCATGCTGAACTGCCTGTGCTCATGAGTATTCAGATGTATTTGCATCAGATGCATGAGTATTTGAAGTAATGGATGTATTGGAGGAATGCATGTATAAATAAATTAGCTGTGTTGCTTAATGTATAAGCCAAAGAAGAGTATCAGTCGCCATAATTATGGACACCTCACCGGAATTAACACAATGCAGGCACTTTGCTGCTCTTTGCACATATACTGTTAACTAAACTGCTTAATTTAGAGTTCATGGTTCTGTTACTGATAGCAGTGCCAACAGCTGTTTTAGATGGTAAGGTGAGGAGATGCAAAATGATACTTCTATGCAAAATGTACAATCTGATTGAAGCTAAAAACAGATTTGAAAATTCAGTATGAGATGCACTATTCCTGCTTAGGAAACATTAGTTTTTTTCAGGTGCTGTAATCAAGTGTCCAGTATACCACACTTGAGAAGATGGTAGCAAACTAGAAGTATTGTGAATGAATAACGCTGTTTAAAAGCAAGATGGAAAACAAAAAAAACAAGAAGGAAAATAAAGAAATGCCTTAGTTCAGGATACAGCATGGGCGTGCAGACCTGAGTAGGATTGATGTTTTGACCCTCACTTTGTGCTTTTTCCAGCTTAGTTTTTGAGATCACTCCCTGCTGAATGCTGTACAAACAGATGTTTTGTCTATCTTGTATCCATACAATGGAAAGTGGAAAAAATCTGGAATCAGCTTATTTAAATAAGAAAGATGCCTCTTATAAATATATCCTTACACTTTATAGCATTACTTTTTCATATATAGGAACTGTTCAGAAGAGAATCTGTTGTCATCTTAAGACCTGATGTCACGTAACAAATTAAGTCTTTAATACCTCTTGACATAATTGTTTGCCTTTACTTGTCATTGAGCAGTATTTTGACAAAAGATCATTAGTATGATTAGGATTATAATGGTTCAGAGACATTTCCTGAAATGCTCTTGGAAAGTGAGAAAAATAGGGAAAATGGAGTGGTCAGATGGGGGACATGTTTATTCCTACTGTTGGAACAAGTGATTTAGTTGTGTTTAATACAAGTATCTAAAAGTGTCCTTTAACCAAAGTGAAGATAGTTCTGTTTTGGAACTACTGTCATTTAAGCAACAGTAGGTTGCGTTATTAGAATTATTAGCAAATCGGCCTTTTGAGTGCAATGCAATCAGGGATTGTACAGTTTTTTTTCCACTTAAAATTTAGTATTTTTACCTTGAAAAAAACTTAGTGTGGTATGTTCTAAGCAAATGACTGCAAAATAAGAGTGCTACTATAAGACACTAGACTGTTGGGTTATTTTTTTTCTAGAAGATTTTGTTACTATGCTTTTACTTTTTTATGTAATACTATGGGCTTGAGACAACAGAACTGAGTGAAAATAGATGGACTTCCCTACTGTTCTATGTGTAATGCTTGGTTTGACTTGTACTGTAGTGTAATCTGAGTGGTATTTTTGTCTGCTAAGTATGTTGCTGGTATATATGATATACTAATGTTGGAATAATTTTTTTAAACATTGCATTCAGCTCACGTGTAAATTTAATATCTAAACCTGGCAAATAAAGCAGTGCTTATTTTTAATGTGCTGTCAGCCTGTTTTTGAATATTCCAAGGTTGCAGACAGGAGCTGAAAAGTATTAAATTTAAATATCCAGTGACCCTCATGGGGAGAAGTATATTCATACAGATTTTTGCAACTCATTGCAGGGTATCTGGATGCTGAATATGGATTTCCTGCAATTTTAACTTCACAGCTTTCTTACTCAGATTACTGAAGAAAGCCTCCATCTGACTGCCATCTTCCACTTGATAATCCCATTGTGTAACAGTCTTTTCTGTCTTCCTCCATTTTCCTAAGGATGAATTACCAAGGAAAACCTGTACTAAATTCTGCATATATTGTAGTCAATGCCCATGGACTTAGAGGGCTTGGGTCTGTGGTAGCCTATGAGTGAACTGAGCTTTCCAAATACCTTACATGAGAAGATGGTTCAGGAGTTCAGACTTGGCACTTTAATCGTCCTCTAGATGTAGTACAAGCAGTCCATGAAGACACATTCATTTTCAGCCAGGCTGCCTTTCCCTTCATTCTCTGGGTACTGTTTTCACTCTTGCGATGCCAGGACCTGAGCTGACTTCTCAACTTCTCAGTCACACATGCAGTTTTCACACACAGAGCAAGTCCTTTATCTACATGCACTTAAATAGCTTTGAGCTCATACACTGGAAAATATGGCAGAGCTGAAACTTTCCCAAGGGACTGGTAGAATCTTACTGTTCAGAGATACATTTGCACCTTTCTTAAACCTCATTTCTGGCACCAGTATAGGGCTTTGGATTAAATCACAGAGAATCTGGATTTGAATCTGTGACTTGATCTCAATAGGCAGCAGCAGCAGCAGCACATTACTTCTGTTGCTTCACATTATTGGAACTCTGGGAATGGGGTCACCTACCAGACTTGATAAGGCATTTCCTTTGTAACTTTGAAATGATAAATTAAGAGAGATGCAATACCAGGAATTAAAGGAAAGAAATTTGTGAGATGAATAACAATCTTGTCTGTATTTCAGAAAAAAAAAAAAAAGATGACCAAACCAAGCACGATACAAGTATGTATTATACTGCTATCACTGTGCTGCTTACTGAAGTGGGATGGATTACTTACTTAGGTATCAAAAGGAAAAACAGAGTATTAAGGACAAAGAGAGACAAAGGCAGGGGCTGTTGTTATGTGGGGTGTATGTCATAAAAATGCTAAAAGTCTTCAGGTGCATTCAGACTTTGCTCTTAGAGGTTAAACTTTGCCATTGTGGCTTGTGGCAAATGGGTGATGAAGTTCAACTGGGGGTACAATTTAATCCAAAACCAATTACATTTTATAATAAAGAGTAGCATGGCAATGAGTGAGAACATACCTGGCTTTCCCCATGATCAGAAATCTTAATCACAGATTCATGAAATGGTTTTGGTTGGAACGGGATTTCAGTTCCAACTCCATTGCCACAGGCAGGGCCACCTTCCACTAGACCAAGTTGCTCAAAGCTCCATCCAGCCTGGCCTTAAACACTTCCAGATGGGGCAGTCACAATCCCCTCATTTATCTTGTGCAGTATATGAAGAGGTGCACCAAAATTTTTGCTGGCCGAAATTTTTGTATCAGAAAAAATAGGTAAGGCATCTGATCTGCTTGGCATCTTCATCTCTCCAGATTAAAGGGTCTTTCTAAAAATGAGTCTGTCTTTATTCTATGCAAAATATGGTAGGGAGCCCTGAATAGAAGAAATATTTTGAACATGTGCCTCTCAATCAAACTGCTGTAAAATACAGAAGTAGAAAAAATTATGTAACCTATTCATAGGTATATCAGTGGAAAAGAAGGGTGAGATGTGGAAGAAATATTCCAACATCTGAAGCCTGCGCATTTCATGTCTGCTTCAGATGTGTGGGCTCTGCAGCAAATACTCATCTACTGTTCCTTCAGAATGTTCAGTATTAAAAGAAAAATGATGTTTCTGAAAGTAATGTCTTAAACACAGCACTGAAAATATACTGAGGTCAGCACTAGCATACCAATGGCAGCTCCTGCAGTCTGAGAGCCCAGTTTGTAACTAGGGGATTTAGACAGATGAGTGGCTGAAAAGCAAAGAGAAGGGGTTGGATTTCCCAGCGTCTGGTGCAGCAAAGAGATTGTACTAAGAGAAGGCAAAGACAGCCTTCACAAAGGACTCATTTAGACATGAAAATCTTCCTTCCCTAAACAGATGGAAAGATGTAAAGGGGAAAAAAATCATGATCTTTACCACATGAATGATAAAATTGTTTCCAGTATATTTAAGTCACTTTGTAACCTCTTTAAGGCACAGCTACTATCTCTCGTCTGTCTTCCTGCATGCTTAGGGTGGCCACAACAGCTCTGCGGCATAGTCTGGACATCCTAAAAAAGGAATAGCTAAATTAAATCTTCTGCTTTTAAACCATCAGTTGTCTCTACCCAACACTTACATCATTCAGATGCAGCTCAGGAAGGGTTTTTTTAATGTAAATATGTGTACCGAGAAATCTGCTGGGAGATAAGTAGGATGTGAAATTCAGCAGCCATATCAATTTTTGGAAGGCACATATGCACATTCCCCTGCAATAATTAGTGACTATGCTTTCTCAGTCAGAAATGAGTCAGTCTGCAGCATTTAGTAAGGGTATGTTTCTTTTTAATTCTTTCTTCAGCTCCTCAACAAACCAGAGCTGTTAGCTAGTCAGAAATACATTTGTATTTAAATTAGACTGACCTAGCTTTGTCCTTCAGCGTTCTAAACAGCCAATGCTATTCGGCATTTCAGTTTTGGAACTGAAAAGTATAAGGCACATCATAACTTCTTCTGTAGTCAAGAGGCATTAACTAAATGAGTCTTTTGGTAATGTCTCTTCCATACCACAGTAGTTTTCAGTAAGTTTTCAGAAAGGAATAAAAGTACTCCAGACAGAATGTTTGTCAAGGGAAAACTGATAGGAGGGATGGGTTCCCTGCCATCTTACAACCTCAGCACAACAGCTTTGCTATCAGATTCTCTTGAATAAACATTTCTGTTGGCATTAGCCCATTACTAGAGTGTCAGCAAACAGTATTGCTACAGTTAAACCTGTTTTCTGGTTGTGGCATCTATTTTCAGATAAAATCCTGGCTCTAGGTATACTGATGGAAACTACTATTATTTGCAGATGTGGCCAAGGTTTCAATGTTTGTGGAACAAAGATCCAGGTCAAAACCCAACAAACCAGCTGAAACAGGTGTGCCAAGAGATTTCCATGCAGCTCACCCTGAAAGGGCAAGCCATTAATTTGAAGATGTCTAGACTCCATGTTGCTCTAAATTAGCTGCTAGGGCATTGCAGTCAGGAAGAATTTCCTGCTTTCTCTTTTCACATAGGATTGTCTCTGTGTCATGACAGCTTTTTCAGCTTCCTCAGAAGCAATACAGGAGAGAATGTGGCAGTAGTACCAAACACTGAATCCTAGCAGCCAGGTCAAACTTCCACTCATCTGCTAAGAGCAGCTTCCTTGCCTAGGTTTCAGTTTCTCAGCAAGAAGTGAGATACAAGTGCCTGCTGAGCATCCT